TTCCAGGAAGTGTTTGACCCTCCGCATTATGAACTCTTTACTCTCAGAGACAAGGTTAGTTTGATTACGTTGATATATTATAAGCTGTACATGGTGATTTTCTTTTAACTTTGCAAATGCAACCACATTAAACTTTTTTAGGAAATGTCTGGGGACCTTGGGGAGTTATCAGAGGAACTCCAGTCCCTGCAGGCCCTCAGGAGATCCTCGTCTGGCTCGCGCTGCATTCACGAACACCATTGTGGCTCCCAGGCTTCTGTTAACTCTAACAAAGCAATTCAAGGTGCACATGGCATAGGCAGGGGATTCATGGAGCTCCCTCCTTTCAGAGGGGACATCCAGAGCACCTTGCCTCCCTTCAGGGACTTGAACAGCAGTCTGCGGAAGAAGAGCTGGCCTAGTATGAAACCAGGCCGCATACAGGGCCATCATGGTATGGGGGATAGAGCACTGTGGCGGCAGGATAGAGTGATGGAAGAGGACGAAGAGGAGGACGAAGATGGAAGATATGATGTGTATGTACGCAGAGCAGGAAGCCGAAGAGGGAATTATGAAATGGACAAACAAAGATCCTTGTCCATGGACTTCTGAAAAGAAAAAGACAAGATTATCATGGAAACTACTGCAGCAGCAACTTTTCAATCAGTGCCACAGTTTGGCAACAGAAGTCTACGTATTGACAAAAGAGAGGAGACTGAGTTTAATTTAACACCACAGAACAGATGTGTCTTACTTACCGTGATCCTTGACTTCTTGGTGAGGTTGGGAAGCACATGGTCTGCTACAGAGCAGGGCTCCAGGAGTTTTTAGAAATTCAGGATACTCAAGAAATGCCGACTCTGTTCGGACACTGAAGCAGCCGACGGGGGGCTGTTATCCTATTTGTGATCAGCGTAGAAGTGAAGACGGATAATAAAGCTGTGTATTGTTCTGATTATCAGTGTATTTTGGTAAATACACTTTACTGTAAAGCAAATAGATTTTGTTGAAATTTGTTTTCAGTGTTTATGTTCTGCAAGAATGTTTTAAGAGGAAGCGTGATTACATTTTAAGCAAACTATGGAATCTTTTATTACCTGTATTAAAGAATAAATATCTACATTTCTGCGCCATTGGCTTAGGAAAAGTCTCCTAAATCTTGCCTTTGAAATAGAGTCAGTTTTAACAATACATATAAAATTAACATTAGCAGTTCACCTTCCCAGGGAGGTGTGTGTTCTTCTAAAAGGTGTGTCACACTCTACTGGTCGGAAGTTTCCATATAAAATTATTAGTTAGACTTTATTGTCCCCGCGGGGAAATTCTTTTTCACAGCACTGTACATAGATAAGGCTCTGTTTGGCAACCTCATTCTTCCTGGTGCTGGATTTTTTTAAAGTTTCTTTTTTCCAGACAGCAGCTGGTACTGGTGTACCGTACATATGCACAGCACAGACTCCACAGCAATGATTACATCACAAATGCCCACAGACTGAAGACGTAGCCTACTGTGTCACTCAAAACAACAATATACTCTTTTTTTCTGTATAAGCAATAATATAAACAAAAACAACAGGGTTGGCCAGAAAGAAGAGTTAAATAATGTACAAAAATGAAAGAGATATCCTTATGTATAAGCCTGACCTATTATCCCTATTATGAGACTCATCATTCCACAAGTGAGTCAACCTGTTTAGGCCTGCCATGGCTGCGGGTACCAGTCTTTTGCCAAAGCGAACCTTTCTGCACCTCAGGAACCTGCGCTCAGAGGGCAGTGCAGTGGAGTGGTGACTGAGTAGTTGTGTGATGCTATGTGTGTTTGCAATGTGCATGATTGCCTTACAATGAGCTCTTACAGGTTGAGTGTGGGGAGACCTATAATCTTGGCAGATGTGTTGGTTGTGCATGTGAGTTTGACCCGTTGTGAGAGACACATTGAAGAAACAGCTGGAGCAGTAGTGCAGAATGGGTTGAACAATATTTTGGTACACTGTGTGTTGTGTAATCCGATTATATAACCACTAAAGGCACCAAATTTTTTGACATTGGCATCATCATCAAACACAACTTTTTGGATGAACGCATTGAATATTTAACTGATGGGTTAGCATGTGTTAACTTGTCTAATGCAGAAAACCCAACACACATTGGAATAAACTTTGTGGATAATCAATGTCAACATTAAGAATTATTTAATCAGAAATGGATTTGTGTGAGTGCCAGTAATGACCTAGAATGAACTGGTATGTTTTTTTTCTCATCATGATTAGGATACACCTTTGACAGATGGCTATGATAGACTGCTTTTAATAACGCGTTGTATCCCAATCAAAATGTCGATGACAGTTAGAAAATGTGCTTATTTGAAAATTGTTCATATATTGCAACCAGATAACATAAGTGCTTTTTGATATCCACCCCGAGTCTGTGTTTTCCTATTCTAACGTAGGCACAGCTTTGTGTTCAGTGTGCCAATGCAGAAAGTCATTTCTAAGCCTCAGCCTGGCAGTTTAGTCAGCAAAAACATATAATTCATTCATCATATTCAGAAAAGTCACTGGGCAGATAATTAATGGAGCAACTATGCGTACACACAGACAAACACGAACATGCAGTCTTGTCACTACAGTATGGGTGATGTTTATGACCGGGAGCCCTGTCACGCACTTGATTTGATTTTAAATATAATATAGTATAGTCTAATGTGCTCAAAAATAATTAATACAGTAATAAAAGGTTTTCTCTGGTTGGCTACTTTCTACACATGTCCAGCAATCATTGTGTAAAACACACACATACATCTTTTTTGTCCATGTGCTTCGTCTGATGCCTCTGTAGCTGATGAGGAGCCAGCCTGCTTGAAATGTTAAACTCTTGTTAAATGGATTAAAGAGAAACTGTTTTTGGGAGGGAGCATTCTACAATGTTGTGAGTCCTTGTGAAACATAAAGTTCTTTATACACATGCCGAAAAAAATATGACTAAACAGCTGATAAATAGTGTAAATGGGTCACTCATAATGACCATAGCAGGAACAAGATTTATCAAATTTGTCTTTCCCAGGTCCTCTATATTTGCTTAGTGTGGCGGCTTTTTTTTTTTCATTGTGATACACATTTTTATCATGTGATATCCCGGAATAGGCAGGATATCTGGGGCACACCAGATAATGGATTGCGCCAAGGAAATGAAGTTAGGTCAACAGGTGAGGATGATAAAGTCTGCATGGTTTGATATTACAGTGAAATGACTCAATGATTTGGATCTGTGATAATAGCTCAACTCATCGTCATACAAAGGTGTTTGTTATTCTTTCCTCAACAAAAGTCACAACAAACACAATGGAGAAAAACACAGCTAGTTGCAACAACAATGAAAATGTGTAGTTGTATTTATATGTTTTCTTTGAATTTCAGTTATGTGTCTGACACACACACACACACACACACACACACACACACACACACAGAGTAACGTTTAATTGTTTCATTATTATGTTCAAATGTTAGTATAAGAACTATAGGCTTCCCTGAGGGCCCGTGAGGCCTGCACTCTAGGAGTGCCATGTTTCTGTCACCACTGTGCAAGACAAACAAGAACACACATACTTATATTCTGTTGGTGCACATTTACACATTTTGTTAAATTGTATTATGTTCACTACCATGTCACTACTGTGACTGCAGTGCCTTAAAAGAGCTCCAAGATACAGATAGAAATGTCAAAAATGTTGTGACCATCCCCGGTCTCCCCCTACACTAAAGCAGACAAAGGAATGAGTCAGGTGATCACTTACATAAGCACCAGCATGTTGGCCTACAATCTGTCAACCATTAACAGAGAGACAGAGACAAACACACACTAGAACATGATGATGGAGTTTAGGATAATATGACCAGAGATGGAAATGGGGGGGACGCTGTTCTGGGAGTAAAAGTTGGGAGAGAATGGCATTTCTGCTCAGATTTTAAAAATATATTCAATGTTTTTTATAGAAGGAAATTGCAAATAGCGCTTTTATACTATTTCTAAAGTAAAGCATTTTAATGAAACAAATAAAAAAAATCCAGCTACTGCCTGTTATGGCAGAAAATTGTGTCCTCTTACATTTAATCTTTTATGTATGTTCTTTTACTATTATTATTATGTATTGTGTTTTATCCTTAACCTTTCCTCTCCTATGCTTCTTATGTTAGTCTGTACAGTGTACACATTTACTAGGGTTTAGGTCAGAGCTGTGAGATTGTTCTTGGTGCTTTCCCTTTCTTTTTGTTCCTCTCCTCTCCTGGAATGTTCATTCAAGACCGAGAGAGGATCTCTGTTCGCCAAAACATAGAAACCTAGACTGTGTAAATGATGATGCATCCCTTTGCTCGGGGCCAGACATTAGTGACTGTCTTATGAGACAGAACCTCTGGTCCAGCTGATTTGTGTAGTACTTCTCTGTTTATTCTCTTTTGTTAAATAAATTCTTCAGAGACAATGGTTTGCTGTAACTCAATTATTTGCTCAGCCCCTCACCAGGAATATAATTTCCACGACACTGCCCATACAGCCAATGGTAAGGAGTAACAACAAGGTGCCTGGAACAAGTCGTTTCTGGAACTAGCGTTTCTGGAACTAGCGTTTCTGTGTCAGCGTTGTCATCACTACCAGCTACAGGTGAGCTGGAAGCTGCAGTGATGTTAATAGTTGTGGTTGCAAACACACATCACAAAGCAGATATTGTTCCTTCTCTTGTCTGCAACAACCCGGCCTTCCTCATTGCTACAACACACTCATGCTCCTGACACTGAACCTATGTCATCGTAGGTGACACGTGCTTCTGAAATTACATAATGGTGACTACCGAGTATGCAACCCTGACTGGTTTTCCATCATTCTTGTCTTGAACTGCAGATTGCTGAGAGACTGTTGCATGACAATAATAAAACAATAGATGTAAAAGCACCTTATCAAACTACACAAATACTGTATATGTGACAAAACATAATAAAAAAGAAACCACGGTGATTCCATAATTCTCTGTGACATATTTTAAATCTCAATAAAACATTACATTACAAAACAGTACATTAATAGCACATAAATATAAAACAATTCTACAATTACTACAGAAGACCCTTTGACCCCATTCATCAACATGGCATCAGTCAATACTTGTTTAAATAGTCTTTGTGTTTCCTTCATCCTTTTCATCTTCAGTCCACAAATGAGAATGTTTTGTGTTTCAGTCTAAACTGTCATGCAGTCATGAAGTGTGCAGGCATGCAGTCAGTCTTCCTCAGTACTGTATGTTGTGCCACAGCATGACAATGTCTCTCAGTGCGTTTACAGTCAACGCTCAAAAGGAGCTCTTCAGTGATTCATCAAAGAAGGCCAGGCGGTCATGTGCTATCAGGGGTGTATTCTCCCCAAGAACGGCCTCCGTGAAGTTGGGCCGTCTCCAGGCGTAAACCATACTGTTCAGGAAGCCTTGCAGGGACAGAGTCGCAGCCTAAAATAAACACAAACAATAGTAAATCTTGCAACTCAGACACCAAATTTTCTTTTTTGATTAGGCCTTGGTCTTCTGAAACTTACCTGTATCACATACAACCAAAATAGGCTGCGTTGTTCAACATTTGTCCAGATCATCAGGGTAGACAGCAGAATGAGTGCAAGAGCTGCAGCAGGAAGATGCACAAGACATCAATCTGACGTGCTGATGACATGTATTATATTAGCTTTAAATGTGCATGTGCGTGAGTGTGTACCTGGTGTCCAGCAGAATAAGATGACCATCACCATATTTCTTGCTGTAGAAAACACTCTTTTGAATCGCCTTCTTGAACGTCCATCTCCTTCCACAGGAAAAAGCCCCTCGTGCGCATGTCTTTCATACCATTTACCAACCTTATAGTAAATGACCTGAAACAAGAAAAAAGAAATGATTATAGTCTGCTTACACATGTGTGCTGTTTATTCTAATGTAAAACTATAAACCATAACTCCAAATTCCTTATGTGATTGCTTATGACTTACAGAGCAAGACCAAAGCACTGGGATCACAACCAGGAAAAGAAAAACTCTGATGAAAATGTCATGGAATATCTCCTGAAAAGAAAAAAAAATCATGTTAGCACAAATGCACATTTCTCAAATACAGTAAAATCATGATAAAACAAATTCCATAAAATAAAACACTGCAAATGAATGAATGAATGTATATAATACATGTCTTAAAAGGAAGTTTAAAGGCACTCACCGTATCAGAGCAGGAATCCCTCCAGACATGCAAGAACAAAATACAACTGAGAAAAAAGAAAAATCACCAGGTCACCAATCAAGAGGTCAACAAAAACACAGAGGGGAGGCAGACCTATTTCTCCTCTCTAGCTTCTTTAAAGCAGTGACTTTAATGGAAGTTAATCATGAAGGCTGTGCGCTTACCTGTTGCAGTATTTGCTGTCATTACGGGCGATCACGTTCCATGATCTGTCAACGACTGGAATCAGCAAAGTAGTTTTTATGAATGGAATGAGCACATATGCCAAGTACATTGCAATGGGGACCAACCTGTGATGTTAGACAAACAGAGATACAGAATTAAATTGTGTACACCAGGGATAAGGCAATTAAAGATGTATTATTTAAAAAGATGCGGTTAATAAACTTACCACACAATAGCATATACTGGTATAGCAACTATTTTCTTCCTACACAGACTCTGTAAACCGGACAGATAGGGAGAAAGAAATTATTCAAATAGTCCTGAGTATTTTTGTACAAATTATAATCTACAAATGCGGTGGACACCTCACCTGTCCACCCTCATCCTCTGTGGGTCTTGCTCTCCACCCTTGGATGGCACTTTTTGACTTCCATGCATAAACCACCACCAGCAGAAATGAAATAAAATAAAATGTCTGGAACAGAACACAGAAACAATGAAATAGGGGTGTAACAATATATTGTGGCACAACAGATAGTGATGCAAAATGTGGCAACGTGCATCATGAAGCCGGATAACTTGAATCTGATCAGTTATGACTTCTCAACAGTACAAATTTGTTTGCATACATGAAATGCTAACAATATTGAGAGCGTAACATGCTGTGAATTCACTTTATCATAACACCCCTAGCAGTCAGGATAAATTTGCTTTCTTGGGCTCAATCTCACTATTTCCTCTATATATATTGTACAATAGCTGCTTGTTCACAGCAGGGTTAGTGAAGTCATAGCTCTTCTACTATTAAGTATGAGCTACAAGTTTAACTGAACTTTGAAATGTAGACTCAAATGTTATATTCCTTTAGTAGTTTATGTTATCTTAGAGATCATTTATTATGTTTACTTGTTGGTTCAAAATAGCTCCATTTCAATGTATATTATAGCCAACAGATTCTCCATCCATATAAAACAATAAAAGCATTTTAAAAGCAGAGGAAATTATAAATTTTAGGCTTGGGGTTACTTTATTTTCATTTCCATCAATTCAGAAATGTAAACTGACCCAGTTAGTTTTGCCTTGATTAAATATTGGACTTTTAAGAGTCTAAATATTTTCCATATCTGCATTTTGAAAGAAACCTGAACTGAATGAAACTGAATGCCACTGCTTTTGTTCCTATTACATTCATTTCTATTTGTTTTATGTAACATCAATATCTAACTCTTATCACTGTAAAATATGATAAAAATTCAGAAAACATATATTTATATTGAAGTTGATTCAGTTTGGAATAGATTTATAGAAACATTTTAACACTTAAAAACTGTTATTAGTGCATTAAACATACAGCACCACCTTCTCAGAGAAAACAACGCAAACATGGCAGAGCGAAACTGCTTATGTTTTGGCTGCTGGAATGACATCCCACGTTTCAGTTACATTCCCAAGTGACTCAAGGAAAATTCTGCAGTGGTGTGAGCAGACACTGAGATTGTGATCAGGTCTTCAGCACTTCAACTAAGGAGTTCCAAAATCTAGGTGGACACATTTACCCAAGTCTTTCAACTTTCCTGTCTTGTTTAATTCAGATATGACCCCTTCCCCCACCAGGAAATAATCTTATAAATGGTTCATTTGTATAGCTAATGGCTTTAATAACAGAGTGAAAGTAACTGTTGCTCACCAGTGACAACGGCAGGCTGTATTGGCAGATGGCTACACTGTTGTCAGTGCGAAATTTGTTCATGACACTGGTGGACATCAGGATCAGAGCAGCTAGGAGGTCTGCCAGGGCGAGCTGCACCAGGAGGTGCACCTGCAAACAAATGCACAAAATGGACTTGCTTCGCTGTAGAACTGTGATATACATAAGAAAACAAAAATCAACATAGTTCCTGCTGCCTTTTGTGTCACTGCAACATTTTGTACCGAAAAACTTTAATCTGACAAGGTGGAGAGCTTCAGCAATTATCAGCTATCGAAAATATGTAAAACAAATATGTGAAGTATGTATAATCCATTAATTAAACACAACATACAGTAACACAAAATCATATGCTGCCAAAAGCACACAAAGAGACATACAGCCTGACTCACCTGTTCCTTTAGATGCCTCCATCTCACTAGTGAAACCACCAGGACAGAAAAACTTCCAATCACACTGCAGTGAATCAGAAATATGTGAAGCATTAAATAACTGTGTAGATGCTGGTGCAAAATGATATTTTAGCACTGCATTCATTTCAGTCAATTTATCGACACTGTGTACAAAATTACTTGCGAGTTACTTGAGGTCGCAAACTTTTGATAATTTAGCTCAGCAACACTAAACCTGAGCCAAGATGGGTTTACTGTACAGGTCAGAGTATCTGAAGATGAGATAGATGTCTATGGCTGACACATGTGACACCTGCATAAAAAGCTGTTAAATGACACATACGTATATATCAGAACACAGAGCAATACTCTGTCCTCTCTCTTATTGTTTGGCTTTCTTAGTCACAAGCAAAAGAAAGAAACCGAGAGACTCATAAACAAAGACCCAGCAGGAGGGTTCACTGAGGTTCACTGACTGACTGTTGCTGACTTTTCAGCAACTAGCAATAACTTAGTGCTGAATATTACATTTTCAGTAAGCCACATACGGGCCAATAGAGCAGAGATGTTATGTAAGAACACTCAGGGAATTCAGAAAGAAAACATTAGCCTGCCTCTTGTTACGTATTGCCTTGTTGGTTTATCAAAACAATCAACAATTAGAAACTGAAATTGTGAAAGCATTATATATAATACACTGTACAAATCATATTTATATGCCATAATCTGGTTACTATACAAACTTACCAGCAACGAATGCCATTTATTTACATCACAATAATATAGCATTCATTGCTGGTAAGGTCAATCAAGCATGAAACGTAAGGAAGCACATTACCTGGGAGTGAGCAACACTATGTACTCAGTAGAGAGAACATCAATCTGAAAAACAGAATTCAAACGTTGTTATTAGAAATGTACCTATTATTTCCCTCCACACAGTTTCCATGCGACAAAGCTGTTTTTTGTGTTCACTTAATGTATTCATGCACAGAGAAGTATCAGATCTACCTACCTGATCTCCACTCAGTACCTCATTCAGATCCATGGTGAATATCCAATTATTAGTCTATTCAACACGCACACAGCTGAAAAACATGTGTCCATAACAGGCCTTTGTGAAAATGTGTTTCCTATCAAAGCACAGCTCTATAAAAGTCTGCACCTTGTCATGTGACTGCTATTTTGACTCCACCTGCTTTGAGTGTGCGTTTAGGTTACAGCACTTTCAAATGGGAATCCCCATTCCGCGTCTTACCTCCAGTCCTTCAAGACAGGAATACACGTACAGTGAGGGAATCATGAAAACAGTACAATGGTATTTCCTCTGTACTATCTGGATTTTCCAACAAAATAACAGATGTGGATTCCCTCATTTCAGAATCAGAATATATAGATATATCAGAAAATAGTCTTCTTTATTGATTCCTGAGGGGAAAATCTTGTGTAAAGTTCCTCACTTGCACACCAAGGCAATAAAGGAATAGAAATTGTAACAGAAAGCTGGTAAGTAAAAATATGAAGAAAATATACAAATGTAAAAATATAAGCAGGTGTGGATAGGCCTACACTGTTTTTACAGGAGGCTACAGTATGTGACAGAAGTGTCCTGATAAAAAGCTGCCATACTAAATGTTTATATCTGCTGTCATGATAATTTCTCTACAATGCATTGACACCAACACCAACTCTCTCAGTGACTCTGAAATAACCAGCTTAAAGAAAACACCAAGCACCCAGGTCACTCAGTATTTTGATAAACCTCTGTGCTACAGAGACATCTAGTGGCAGAAATCGGTCCTCCATTTTACGATGTGTGGGGAAAACAAAACAAAACAAAACAAACACATGTAAGCAAGACCCCATCTGCTTATCGCCAAACGGTGCAGGTTATTTTTGCATAAATACAACAGCTTAAAGTCTGTATGAGAATTTAAAAAAAACAATAGCAAATCATTCCAAAAGTGCTTACTGATGTTGCTGTGTGTTGATAAAGTTGATTCAAACTGATGACGTCGTGGATTCCACGTTGGCCCGGACGTGGCACTCGGCAGTAGCCCTGTGTGGAAATCAGAGAAAACCGACCAAACGTTGCTTGTGCTGTGGCTAATATCAGTGCTCTTTTTCTAGACTCAAACATCCTTGGCCAGTTATGGGGCTCACCATCTCGTCGATCTTCAGCCAGCTCTTTGGCAAAAAACAAATGCGGATTTTGATGGGTGAGTGAAAGCTGTGTTGACGGCTAGCTTTAGTGAGCGGCACGGTTTGTAGCTTTAGCTAGCGTTTGGTTAGTTTAATGGCAGTACAGTTCTAAACCTTTCCCTTTACCTGTCCCAAGTATGAAATTGGGACAGAAGCTGAATTTAAACTCAACAAAGACTCATGTAAATAATTGTTGTTTGTAAAAAAATAAATTTAAAAAAAAGGGTGAAACTAGGTTTCCCACCAAGCATCATCTCATAAATTTCGGGTGCTTGAAGTTACGTTAACGTAACGTCACTGATGCTAACAGCAACTTTATTCCCGAAAGTGGCTTAAAGTTTATTATAGAAATTAACGTTTATTATAACTAAGTTTGCCTTTTTACCGAATAGTCACTTCCTAACAGTAACGTCAGCTTCGTTGGGAGAAAACTGCCGTTCATTTTTAATCTATTTGAAGATAGATATTTTATTAGTTAACCTAAGTCGTTAGACAGTAAGTCGATATGGCGTAACTCCTAATGACGTGTGATTGTCATTGTGTTGCGTTAATGATCAGTCCTGTTTCCGTATAGCTAGGGAGTCATAATGAATGTCCTCGACGAAGTTCATGTTATATTAATACTGTATTAAGATCAGCTTCAGTAATTGAGGGTTGTTTTCCCTCCTACTAATTGATGAAAATCACTCAGAACAGATCATTTGCTTTGTGCAGTCACGTGTAACGTTAGTGTATTGCCATTGCATGTCCTCTGCTGTCCTCCCTATAGGGAAACGCATGTTATGCAATTTACAGCACCTTGTTATCCATAGGTGTAACTTTTATCCAGTCCTGATACAAATGTTGGTTTTTAAATCACACTTTCCCCCTGTAGTTGGGCTGGATGCTGCCGGGAAAACGACTATCTTGTACAAATTGAAGCTGGGTGAAATTGTAACCACCATCCCAACCATTGGTAAGAGATGCACTAACAGTTACTTTTAAGTTCAGTTTGATCATTTCATGTGTACCTCAACATGTTTGAGTCATGCAACTTTGTGTGCAGTGTTATTAAGACCTGTCCCATCTATTTCTCCTTTAAAGGTTTCAATGTAGAGACTGTAGAATACAAAAATATCAGTTTCACTGTATGGGACGTGGGTGGCCAGGACAAGATCAGACCCCTCTGGAGACATTACTTCCAGAACACACAGGTATGAGCTCTCAAGTACTTCCACACAGATCTCCAAGGAAAGCTGCTTCAGTAAAAGACTTAAATCACGCTTTGCTAGCTTCCTCTCCTCATTCATCAAAAGGACATCTACGTGACAGGTGCTGTTATAAGAGTAGCTTATAACAGCACAACTGCTGGAAAGTGAAGGTGGTTAGCGTGAGCTAACAACTCCCTGTGCTTCAGACTCCGGTCTGAAGGCTGAGCAGGACTGGACAAGGCGGGGTCAAAGTACATGAACACACACATTTACAGGATTAAATAACCGACATGGGGAAATTAAGTCTGTTAGAAGCTCTAAATCTCGGTTTCGATTACTTTTCAATTAATTGTCCAGCCCTAAGAACTCGTGTCATCAAAGTATGTCGCTGAAGCGGCGTCACCAACTGGAATAGTGTCAAAGCAGCCACAGATTACACTCAACATCATTTAATTTATGCATTTATTTTAACTGAAGTACTTTACAGCACGTTTGTCAAGACTTTAGTTTGAAAGTATGTTTTCCTCTGGCTACATTGCTGCTGTTTGTGAAAGTAGACGAATATGCATTATTAATTAATCTACAGATTATTTTCACAATTAATTGATTCATTGTTTTGGCTATAAAATGTCAGAAAATTGTGAAAAATGCCTATCACAGTTTCCCAGAGTCCAAGAGGATGTCCTCATAAGGCCAAACCCAAATATATTCAGTTTACAATTGCAGAAGAGCAAGGAAAACAGAAATAATTCACATTGGAGGAGCTGGAACCAGATATTTTTAAATCTTTGAAAAATAACTTAAAATGATAATTTCATTATGGATGTAGTTGTTGAATAAGTTTCTGTCAATTAACTAATGAATTATTTGGCTAATCATTGCAGTTAGAATTTAGGGAAACTAACCACTTGGATGTTGTTGTTTTTTTTCCTCTTCAAGGGCCTCATCTTTGTAGTGGACAGCAATGACCGTGAAAGAGTGGCAGAGTCTTGTGAAGAGCTCTCAAAGATGGTAGGAGTTTAATATGTTCGGTTCAGAATGGACTGCAACGCAATAATAGTTTTCTGTATGCTGTGTTGAATCGTAATTTGACATTGTCATAACATGCAGAGTAGCTGTCTCATACTGTGATGAGGTTTAATCAGAACAAACAATATTGTTCCTTCCTCCTGGCACATGCGGAACGACATTCCCACGCCAGTTTTAACAGAGTCTCATTATGTTTTTCACTGTCAATGGATGACAATCCTTCACACCACCAGGATCTGGGATCTGTATATAGTCAAATTAAAACCTCTATCTCTTTGTTCATGCTTTAGTGCATTGCATGGTTAACCCATGAATTTTGAAGCCACTGGGTAACCAAGCTGAGCAGTGAAGTAATCTGTCACCTTGTGTGGTGCGTCAGTAATACTGACGCAGCCTGTTCATTTTAATGGGTGTGGTCAATGTCTTGATGAGTCACCAAAAAAAGTGTACACACCAAGGTTACATTTTTTTGATAGTGCATTGCATTTTAGATTGTTTTACGCTCAATAATCAGTTCACATTAACAGTCATTATTTTAACTTGCCATTATGGTTACAAGTCCTTTTTTATTTTAACGTTGAAGTGCTGTAGGTCAGTGGGTAATGAGCATCTGAGTAGAGTTTAGTTTTTTTGTAAAAAGCGTGTAAACTGCTTTGTTTAATCAGTCATTCTATTGTTATAATGCTTCTTAAACTGTGAGGATTTGGCTTTTTTAAAGTATATTTTGTGGGCATCATATGCAACTAACGTCCCCGGCCAAGCTTAAAATGGGGATGTTGTGATGACATAGTCAGCGTCACATACCCCTAAGCAACAGGAAAAGCAAATTGCATCTCTGCACAGTTGATATTTTACAAAAACAGTTTTTGTAAAATTTCACTTAGACTTTTCAAACCCTCCACACGACAAACATTTAGTATTATCTCACTGTAAATTCATGTAATGAGATCACAGTTTAATCTGTTTTTAGTGTTTTGGACTATGTCAAGGCATGTTTATTTGTATAGGTCATTTTAACAACAAGGCAATTCAAACCTCCGGTTTGGATGTTTCATAATGTAGCAGAAGATCAGAAATGTATTTTGTCCCTAAACCCATTCAGTGCTTTATAAACCGACTAATGTGAAATCTTCGAATTGATGTTCTAATCTGTTTTCTCTCCCTCTAGTTGATGGAGGACGAGTTGAAAGATGCAGTTTTGCTGGTGTTTGCTAACAAACAGGACCTTCCCAATGCCTTATCAGTCAGTGAACTCACAGACAAACTCGGCCTACACGCCCTCCGCAACAAAACTGTAAGTAATCTACACCTACAGTAAGATTCAGATCTGTAAACTGCCATCATATTTAACTCATTAACATTATCTAATTTGTAATCTGTTATCTCTGTGACCCCACAGTGGCACATTGAGTCAACCTGCGCCACCCAGGGCACTGGGCTGTATGAAGGACTTGACTGGCTATCCAAAGAGTTGTCCAAGAACTAATGAAAGATGGACAGATGAGAGAGAGAGAGAGAGAGAGAGACACTGAACACCACAAGACAGGAGAGAAGGCACAGACATTCAATCCCGAAACATTTGGTCTTCCAGTGCAGATGTTCACTAAAAAGGACATGGCTGGTGGACAATATAATCATCTTTGGGAAATTTTAGTATCTCTTATTTTTTCTTTTGTTACTCTTATTAGAGTATTAGCGTATTATCTCTTGACATAATCTCTTTTTTTCTCCTTTTGTTCTTACATGGCAACAAGTTGTAATAACGCATTCAGTTGCATGTTGCGCAAATGGCCTTTTAGGGAAATTTCATGGAAAGAATGTACAGAGAAATGAGTTGTATTACCACTTGACACATTGGCCCCTGTCTAGGCAGCATTTGCAGTAATCAACCACTTGTATAATTGTTGGACTTGCATTCAGCCATTGTCGAGCCTTGGGTGGGGGATATGATGATAAAACCCTAGAGCTTTGGTGACGAACAGCTTGTACGCTGCCACAAGCTGTTCATCTCCACAACCCCTTGTGGATATTTGACTCCCTTGCAGACCTGACCCTTTGCTCTTCACTGCCTTAGCCCCATGCCAACTCATTTCTGTAAAGGCCTGTACCACGAGATGGAGGAGGATTGCTGTGATTTCACAGGTAGATTTTGTTAGTAGTGTTGAACCATGTGGAACGTTGTGCCTTCTGGTCCCTCTTTACACAAATCTGAGTAATCCTTTCGTTATGCTCTTTGATGTTTTTTTTGCTTTTGAAAGACAATAATGCAATAAGACACTTCCTTTTGTGCTGCAGCGTATGCTGTGGTGCAGCAGAACAGTGTTGAGTGCTTATTTGCGACTTGACTTTGCAACAGGATTTTATCCTGTTGGAATATTAGTGAATTTGTCCTCACTCCTTTTTTTTTCCTTTTTTTTTTTTTTTAATAGCCACCATGAAAAACTGATTTAATTATCATTTCAGTGCTTTATATACTCTAACGGGAAATCTTTTTTAACCTATAAGACGAAGGAAGTGTATTTTCAGTGCAACAAAGTAAAGTAGCATGTTTTTGTTGTTTTTTTGGCAGAGCTTAGTGCTGAGTTTGTTGTACTGTCTGATGGCAAATACTGTATGATATTCTGAATGATTCTACCCCTATTGAAACACAAAAAAACATACCTGCCCTTCAATTTATTCATGTATACATTCCAACCTATGCTTGCAGATGCTGGAGCTGCCACTAAAAATTGCTAAAAATACTTTACTAAAAAGCTCTGAATAAAGCAAATGTTTGAAAAAAAATACAGTTTTTAGACTCCACTCATTGCTCAAGACGGGCAGTTATCTTGGACTTACTGGCTTTTACCCATTGAAAAATATTATTAAAACATTTTATGACTACTGTATTCACAGGTCAAATCCAATCATGCTTTCTTAATTTTCAAAATGTGTTTCATAATAACTCACTAAACAACTGGCATATTTTATTAGGAACTGTGGCTGATAAGGGAAAGTGAAGAAGTGTTTCGCTGACTCTGTTTAGGGCTGTGACTTAAGACAGATCTTATTCCTAGTCTTTGCTTAAGTTCTACCTCCGAAACCACTACACTTCCTAAAATATCTTACATTTTGTTATTACATCTTTAATTACATTAGGGAAAATATACTGCTTCTGCAATCTTAGTATGAATAAGAAATAACAGCTGCCATGCGTCTCTCTTAAACTAACAAGTGGAGAGTTGAAAGCAATATATTTAAAATGCCCATCAATGCTATGTTTGAGAAAAACATTGAGCCTACATGACCTGCACTGTAGTTTACTTTTTGTGTTTGTTGATGTCTCTACTGTTATTGCATTTTATATATATATATATATAGTTATAGCTTGAGAGAACATGTGAGCATATTAATCTATATGGTTCAGTGTATTCTTCATTTTAAGGCCAGTAAATGGTTGTTTACTGAATGAGAGTCTGTTAGCAGTAGATGTTTGCATGGCAGCGACAGTAAACAGGACAAAAGATGCTTTTTAATTAAACTCTATTAAACTTTTCAGGCATCTGAGGAAACTCAAAATAAATGTCAGTGTCAAAGTAACAGCCAGGCTCACACATGCATGGTTTATTTTCGCAAGTAAGAATACTACAAAAGTACATTACAGTAACAAAAAATATTGTGTGCGTTGGAAAGGCAAAAAGCAACGGCATAAATAAATACAGACCATGTCAAAACGTAATGTAGAAGATAAGAAGTGGGGGAACATTTTGTAAAGCAATCAGAGAAAATGTTTCATAATGTAACACTGCTCTATCTTACATTCATATACACAGCACTGTTTGTTTAGTCCAATATTTCCTTTAGCAAAACCTATTTGTATGTACCTGTAAATGTTTTATAAAACATAATTTTATGGTAATTCTGTCTTTACAACAAAGCATAAAGATGTCTTTTCATACTTAATGTAGACAATATCATGTAGGTCTTACCAGATGGATGCTCACCATGGATCCCCAGTATGCCCGCCCTAAATGTGTGACGGTGTTCAAATGTTGAGAGACAAGCATTGTGTTTGTAGGAATAACTAATAATTCCTCATGGAGAATTTATATGCTGCCTTTGGTTTCTCTCAATTAGGAGTTTTTTGCGTTTATAAATCATGTCAACAGTTAGGCCATGACTAAGACTTAGTTAGTTATATCCTTGGTAATAATTTGAAGATGAGAAGAGATAGAGATGAAGGGCTCGTTAAGTGTAGTCACCTCACTACTTTCATCCCCATCGTTATCATTCTATTACCATTACTGCGCTGCAGGGGCCGATATGTCCAGAGCCACTGCAGCAGACCATGATATGTGTCAGTTTTCTGTCACGCTTGGTCCTTAAGACATACATTTCATAGACCTTATGAAGTCAGGTTTTCAAATAGTTTTTTTTACAGCTACTTCTTTGATTCCACTCATCTATAATATATTTAAATCTGTTCAGGTGGCTGGTACAGTAAGCGGTGAGGGGAGAGACAGTGCTGGTGTGTCTGGATATAAGACCTAACATGAACAACGTCTTGTTCGTTCAGAGTAAACACAAACCCTACTGGTGCTGATGTATGAAGCTTTAGCTGGTGACAGGTAATTAGGACATTCATACAGTGTTTATCGGTGAAGGTATAAGCATTATATAATTGGCTTGCTATAATGTGTGAATGTCTGTTCTAATGTATTTATGACAGCTAATCGGGCTTAGTGGAGCTGGGTCAGCGCTGTGTGTGTTTGTGTGTGTGTGTATGGGTGTGTATCTGTAAGCAGCCGGGTGGTCAGCATAGAGGAGCACATGTGAATTCTTCTACTTTCAGCATCCTTTTTCTTCACTTTCCTGCACTCAAACTCTGGAAATACATTAAATGGGATTTACAGAGTCACTACCCTACGCAATCGAAAAGGTAAGTTTTAAATTTATTGATTACATTATATTATACTGGATTATTACAGAACATATTACAGCTCACGCTCAGTGGCAAGGAGGTGACATGAGGTTGCCCATTGGCCCACTTTGGGCACAGTCCTTCACATCTTCAGTGTGATTGCTCAGGCTGATCTTGGGGTTTTCCCCTGGTGCAGGATGATGCCGACCATGAGCTCGCACATACCGGTACCTCAGCCTTCATACACCCAGGCCAGGGAGAACTTGGTGAAGGCTATCCCACCCAAGCTCCTCTGTTTGCTGGGCTGTGGAGGAATAGACTGCCGCTATGAAGGACCAGAGTGCTGGAATCTAAATCAACAGGTCATTCGTGGTCTTTTCTCCTCCTGGTGAGACTATGTGACTCAGTCTCATAGATATTGCTGTGTTGGGAGGAGTAAGCAAGGTTTAGTTTACTGATTATGAACTTCTTCCTATTGCAGGGTGACAGATGACATTATTGCCATGACACGACCATCCAATCATCTGATTGAGAAGTACAACATCATAGAACAGTTTCACAGGTAACAGTTTCTTCTGTGTGTCTGTGCAGTGTGTGGATATGCATGATACACAAAGTGCTTTAGGAATTATGAGCCTTCTTAAAAGGTGTGACAAGGGGCTACTTATTTCACAGCCCCCTGCACACATACAGGTAATTAGTTGAAAACAAAGTGGGTAAACAAATCCAGATGAGGAATGTGTAAAAACAAAATACCTTCTGTCAATTCATTGGGTAAAATGAGGATAAGATCTCTGACAGTACTGCTTTTTAATTTCTTTTTAAACGAGTAACAAGAAAGTTTACGTTTGAGGCATAAACTCAGCACTAGTGTCACCTGTTGCCTTCAAAATGTATGACTTTTCCCCCAGGTTGAACATCAGATCTATCATCAACATGCAGGTGCACGGAGAGCATGCTCACTGTGGACCACCCCTAGACCCTGAGAGTGGTTTCACATACTCTCCGCAGATCTTCATGGACAATGACAGTGAGATCTTGATACAGTAAATACACAACATGGAAGTTACAATTAGGTCCTATAAATGTCCATTATGTCCCTAAAAGCATTCATGTGTGCACATATTTTTATATTTGCAGTCTACTTTTACAACTTTGGGATGCCAGATTTCGGTGTGTCGTCTCTCGTCGGTATAATTGATGGGGTGAAGGTTTTGGCCTTTGCAGTGAAGGAAGGAAGAGTGGCTGTGCACTGCCACGCAGGCCTCGGCAGGACAGGTTGGACTGAACATAGATATGGTATCTACTGTACATGTAAATGCTGTGTTTCAGCTTGTGCACATGTGTTTCTCTGCTGTGTTCTTGCTATTCAACAGGTGTCCTGATAGCCTGTTACTTGATCTACACCCTGCGCATCAGCCCAAGTGAGGCCGTCCACTATGTGCGCGTTAAACGGCCTCGCTCTATTCAAACCCGGGCACAGATCAGCCAGGTGTTTGACTTTGCTCGCCTGCTTGGTACACAGCTGGTCCAATACCCAGACCTCAGCCTGCGGCATGGAACCCCTTTTACCCTGCAGCACTACCTTAACCGACAGACTCTACTGCTGCATGGCCAGGAGGCACGCACCCTCAGACATACACCCAAGGTCATGTCTTTATCATTATACTACATCCGTCATCAACATACCTGACTGTGCTGTAGAACAGTTTCCCTTTCTCACTTCCTCTCGATCATCTCATTAGGTGGTGTACCTTCTGTGTATGCGTCTCTCCTGCTTAGCCCTGGGCCTCCCTGCTCCTCCAGAGGTCCACGATGAACTGGAGAAGAGGTCAGCACTGAGGACCCTGAGCACAACTGTGAGGGAGACCCTGGTGGCCAAACACTACTTGCCCCTACTAAGGGAGGGTCGTAAGGGCTCGTGGGTAGGTTCGGGGTCAGTATCCTCCTGGGAAGAGCCACTGGGATTTTTGGAGAGGAAGAGAGAGGTGCTGATGGACAAACGCAGCTACAGCGACTCTGACCTCAGCAAGATCACAGTAAATGTGTCTGATTTCACATTATTTATCCAGAATTACATAAAGTTTCTGAATATTATCTGTAAAAAAAAAACTGGTCATAGAGTCTTTTCTCACTTTGTTGCATTCTGTCCTGAAGGATCTGGAGTTCAGTCCATACTGCACCCCAGCAGTTGGAAATGAGAGAAACTGGTGTGTACAGGATCTGATGCGACCTGATCTGAGGCCAGTCAGTTCAATCCTTGCCACACTTTCACCAGGCCACCAGACCACCAAAAACGAATATTATACATTCAACATCCCAATATCTGGCATGAGGACAGGCAACAACCGTGCAAAGAGGTCCAAGTGCCCAGCTAAAAAGCCACTTCCCAAATACAGCTCCAACATTGAGGTAACTGCGATTCTTACTGTGAAAACAGCAGATGATGGAGAACACTTTGATGTTTGAGTAAAACATTCTGATCTCTGTCATATGTAGTTGTGCAGAAATCCACATAATCCAGGCCCAACCTCAGTCGCCCGTGCTGTTGCTAAGGCAATGGCAGACCAAGGTCCTCCAGGAGAAACCATTCTGCAAAGGTCGGCACTGCTGCAGGTGACAAACACTGGTGCCAACATGGTTTTCCATCAGAACATGTCACTTGAACATGTCAACAAATGTTGAGCTCTAAAGCCACTGAATGAATACTGTCACTCACCTTTTCAACAGGAGGAGCTGAACAGTAGCGAGTGTGGCTGGGCTCTGCTGGTCACAGAGTCAGATCCTCATGTCCTCAGTTGTCTGTTGTGGACCTGGCTGGACAAGTTAAGGGTAAGTGGCATCAAACATGAGGACATAATGCCAGTAGCATATTCCCAATTTTACAGCGACGGTGAAGTAAAAAATGCACCTTGATGTTGAATTTCAATTTACACTTCCCATACCTTGGTAAACATCTTCCTCTCAGTCTTATCTCTGTTTCCTCCAACCTCATCCAGGAGCCTGTTCTGAGTGTAGAGGATGTAGACAGGTTGAGTTGTGGAGCAAACAGCAGGATGCCTCTCAGTGTGCTCAGGAAGGTAAGGAAGCTGATGTATGATCAGTCATCTTTGACTCTTGAGTATTCTTATTAAGAAAACATTGCCTCTAAACCTCTTTGGCAAAGATTTCAAAAATTATTTTCAATATTAAATCAATACAGCCACAGAGACACACCATCTATTGTCTGCTAAGATGTGTGAGTACGGTGACTAGCCTGTGTCCGCACAGAGAGGACGCAGTGCTGCAACGACTGATGCAGAAGCTTACAAGGGTAAGACAAATGTGGATTCACAGTATGTTAACGTGCGTGTGCTGGTGTGCCGTTAGAAGAAGTTGAGTTCAATAATTGTCTTTTTTTTTTTACCAACAGTGCCCCCAAGAGGAAATGGGAAGCCTTGCAGCTTTGATGAAGGTCCTGAAAACTAGTTTGAGAGAAGTCTTTCACAACTACAGATACCTCTCGAGGTCCTGCAGCACCAATGCTACACTTTGAAGAGCGGCGTCCACAACAGCGGAACAGCAGCAGCTTTTTTATTTTAAAAGATGTGGTATTTGGGCACCTGACTTTGGGCAAAATCAAGAGGTGTAAAGGGCATTTTTCACAGAAGACATTTTGACAAGTCGTAGTGGGAAAAGCGCAGGTGTAAAAGATAAAATTAACAATAGCTAAATTCCATTTAGTTGTTTCAGTTTCACTGTCCTGGTATTGTGCATGTTGGCTCACTGTCACACTGTCATGGCTTACTGGGACACTAGAATAGAACAGAGCCATTGTTAATGTTATCAGTAACACCTTTTTGCTTATTTGCTTTTCCAACGATGCCATATTCAAATGTCTGCTGTGAAAAAGGGCCCTAAGTGAGATTTGGCTTCTGGAGTCCACATCCACATCTTACCTTCCTCTTTACAAAATATCACACATCTTAAAATGGATTAATTTGATTCGTCAGAACACCTCCACATCATATTTGAATTGATGTTTCGTTGAAACCACAATTAAATTTTGTTTAATAAAAAAAGGGTGGGATCGTAGGTCTAATTCACTTACTTCAATAATGACATTGATACAATGTTAACTGTAGGCTAATACATTTTCTTTTATGTCTACTTTCAGTAGTATGTAAGATACTGTATTTTAGTATTAGCAGATTAAATCTGAACAGTGTGACCCTGTGGCCTGTTGTCAGCCTTTCGTACCTAATAAATTATTTACAACATCTGCACACACTGTTTTATGGATTCACATTTTGGGACTTCCTGCGCTGTTTATACACACACACACACACACACACACACACACACACACACACCTCATATTAAGCATTCCTGTCAAAGAGTCATCTCCATGGCAACATTGCCATAGTGAAGTTGTCAAGCACTAAACAATCTGTGTTTGGGTTCAAAGCACATGCTGAGTTCCAGGGATAAAACCTGACCTAGAGGCAAAGCAGGATCAAGAACTTTTATGAGGTAAATCATATATCTATTTATTTAATTTTATTAAGACTAAGACTAGTAACTCAACCAAACTGAATGCAGTCACTGACGTCATAAGTTTGGATGCACTTGTCAGACATCTTGTAGTTTTGTTAAAGACTAACTTACTCTGGGTGTGTGATAAAGATCACTGGTTTTAGTGTAACACTGGTTTCACTTTACCAACAAAAAAAACTGTTGGCCTCTATTGTAGCATAGTAGCTTGCCCAAAATGTATTTCATTAGATGACCTGAATAAGTGACAGTGACTAACGTTAATGCAGGAACTTTCACAGCTGTGTAAATTAGGTGTAAGTTAAAGAAAATGCTACAATAGATTAGGCCAGTAGAAGGATTTATCATTGACTAGCCTGCTGCTTTATTAAAGCTAACCTGTTAACATGCAGTTTAACAAGTGAAGGAAATAATCAACCAAAGAAACAGAGAGGGGGATATTAATTATATATAATAAAATATAAGCGCTTTAGATGTTTTTATGGTTTTGTCTAAATGTTTCTTTGTTTTGTTGGCCTTTATACCTTGAATATTTCATCCAGCTAACTATGCATGTTCATGGTGTTTGAAGTAATAAAGTATCAAACAAATAAACAATTCAAACATATGTTAGACAATGGAATTTCAAAAATAGTCAAATTAGACAATTTTTAACATTATATTTTTAACTCAGGGTTATTTTATATTTGGTTTGAGTAACTTACTGTAAGAATGTTGATGAAGGACAAAACGAATTTGTTGTAACGAGTCCCAGGTATTTGCAGCTCATATTAAGAAGGAATATTTATGTTTAGAGTGGACTAAAATACCTCAAGCACCAGACAGACCCATTAGTAATAATCCAGTTATTGTTCTTTTTCTTTGTAACTTAAAAGTTAATACATATATTTGCTTTTCACAATCCATCTTTCTCTCTCTCTCTCAAAGTAATGGCAAGCACTGAACCTTGGGTTGGGACCTGGAGGCCCCACAAGCCAAGAGGGCCCATAGCTGCCCTCTATGGTAGTCCAGGACCCAAGTATGCACTACCCGGACTCACAGGTACAGCCAAAATGGCCATTAAGCCTTTTTTCAGCACCATTGACATATAATTGACATTCTCTGTCCTCGTTTCCACCATTAAGGTATTTCTAAACACGACCCTACCAAATACAAAGCACCAATGTTCAGCTTTGGGACACGTCATGACCAGGCCACTGCTGATTGCTCGCCTGGACCAAAATACCTTGTCCCCTCCAATATCACCAGGGAGGGTCGAGACGGCACTCCTGCGTTTTCACTCCACAGCCGTCCAAAGGAGCCAGGATTGTTCCAGGCCCCTGGACCAGGTCAGCTAAACTCCTTACACATTAAAATAGACTTTGTAAAAGGACGTGAAAATTAAACACTGCTGATTATCCATCAAAAGCTGACAATATGCCACTTTACCAGTAAGCAATTTATGTAACTCTCCTTGGTGTTTCAGGCAATTATTCCCCAGAGCGTTCAGGAAAATCAATCTTCCGCTCTGCTCCTGCTTATTCTTTATCTGGGAGGAGCAAAGAAGGCTGCAATAACCAAACACCAGGTAAAACATTGTGTCAACTTTATTTAAGCTGTGGATTGAGAAGAATATAAACTTCACCTTTCGCTCATACTGCAGGTCCAGCCTCCTACAGTCTGCCCCCTGTGCTGGGGCACAAAACTGTGGCCACATCTGCAGCTCCCACATACTCACTCTGTGGTCGCAGCAAAATTGGAAGCTTCCATGAGGACCTAAGGAAGGTACATATCCATAATAAAACTTTTTCCATAAAGAAATCTAGAAATCCTGTGATTTACTTTTGTTCTCTATATTTTTGTTTGCCCTCCAGACTCCTGGTCCTGCTGCCTACAAAGTTGTGGATCCTTGTACTTACAGGCAAAAACCTCCCCAGTATAGCATGACAGGCCGCAACTTCTCACCTGGTGAAACCACAAAGAAACCAGGACCTGGTGCATACTATCCAGAGCGGGTAAGAAACCTCATTATGTCTTATTTGATCATCACAAAGTATTGTACATTTTGTCCATTCACTGACATTTGTCTCTTCGTAGGTGACCTTCACAAGAGCAAAAGCTCCAAGCTTCTCGTTTGGACTGCGTCACTCGCAGTTCATCTCACCCCTTATTGTAGATGTGCCAGAGTTATAGCCCCCTTCGTATTGGTACTTGTCACCTTGTCAGGGTTATAACCACTTTCAAGTAACTGAATAAAAAAAAGTCACTAAACAGCAAGAATTTGCGTCAGGACTTGAAAATTGCTGTTTATGTGCAGCTTGAGCAGTTTATGAGGTAAATGTGCAGTATTCAGATATGCAAAGCTGATAAAGGCCAATCCACACACATATACATATATGTATACATATATACACACAAACTCACACACACACACACACACACATTTAAAGTGAGTGAACAGAGTAAAAATCTACCACCCTTCAGCCTTCAAAACAGCATAAATTCTTCTAGGTACGCTTGCATAAAGTCAGGTGTATGCTTAAACAATTACCAAACATGTGCTAATGATCATAAAATCAATATGTAGGTTGAAAAACAACCATTAACTTAAACAGAAACAGCTGTGTAGGAGGAATATAACTGGGTGAGGAACAGCAAAACTCAACAACAGCTAACAAGGTGAGGCTGCTGAAACAGGTTACTGTCAAAAGTCATACACCATGGCAAGACTGAGCACAGCAACAAGACACAAGATAGTTATTCTGCATCAGCAAGGTCTCTCCCAGGCAGAAATTTCAAGGCAGACAGGGGTTTCCAGATGTGTTGTCAAACTATTTTATAGATGCACAAAGAAATGGAAAAGACTGAGGACCCTAGACACAGTGGTCGACCAAAGAAACTTACTGCAGCAGATAAAAGACACATCATGCTTACTTCTCTTTGCAATCGAAAGATGTCCAGCAGTGCCATCAGCTCAGAACTGGTAGAAAACAGTGAGACCCTGGTACACCCTACTGTCCAGAGAAGTCTGGTCAGAAGTGGCCTTCATGAAAGAGTTACGGCCAAAAGGCCATACCTTAGACATGGAAACAAGGCCACGTGACTCAACTATGCATAGACTCACACTGGTGTGCAGGGAAATCACAGCTGCTGCTCTGGACTGAGGAGTCAATATTTGAAATATTTGGCTGTAGCAGGAGGCAGTCTGCAGGCAAGAGTGAAACATGGTGGACATTTCTAAAAACAGAGTTGGGGATTTGGTCAGAATGAATGGTCTCCTTAATGCTGAGAAGTACAGGCAGATAAATCATGCAGTACCATCAGGGAGGCGTCTGATTGGCCCCACATTTATTCTGCAGCATGGCAACGATTCCAAACATACAGCGAAAGTCATTAAGAACAGAGGTCCTGGAAGGATGGTATGGGCCCTGATCTCAACATCATCACCTTGGAATTATCCTAGATTTAAAAAAAAAGGTTAAAAAAATCGCCAACACCATCAAATTTTATTTTAGACATGTCAGACCATGTTAAACAACAGAGGCAGCAAACGTTTTATGCAAGCTGTGATCTTTTCCCATATAACATACTGCTTCACAAGCTGATCTCAAACAAACAAAAACACTTGATAGAAAGCCTATAGGTCAATAGCTACCACCACTGTCATATAATAAAAAAGGACAACCTATCCAACTTAGGGAGTTTTAAATTTTTTCAGATTCTTGCCTAATCTTTCAGGTGTTACACAAGTTGCCACCTGTGCAATAAGTTCATTTGTGAAATTTCCTCACTACTTCCACGGTCAACTGTTAGTGGTATTATAACAAAGTGGAAGTGATTGGGACCAACAGAAACTCAGGCATGTCAGCGCATACTGAGGCACACAGTGTGCAGAAGTTGCCAGCTTTCTGCAGAGTCAATATCTACGGAACTCCAAACGTTGTCTGGCCTTTGGATTAGCTCAAGAACAGTGTGTAGAGAGCTTCATGGAATGGGTCTCAATGGCAGAGCAGCTGCATCCAAGCCTTACCACCAAGTGCAATGCAAAGCATTGGATGCAGTGGTGTAAAGCACGCCATCACTGGACACTAGTGGAGCCGTGGTCTCTGGAGTTACCGATCATACTTCTCTTTCTGGTAATCTGATGGACGAGTCTGGGTTGGCCCTTTAGTTCCAGTGAAAGGAACTGTTAATTTCCAGCATACCAAGACATTTTGCATAGAGCAAGTCGTCTTCTAGCATTCCAACTTCGAAAGGCTCAAACAAGTAGGATTATTTCCAAAATAAAACATCCCCGTTCCAAACAACCTGTGATAAAGCCGACAGAGATAGCGGAAGCTTTTGCAGAATATTATAAAGACTTATATAACGACTTTGAGCTAGACTCCATGGAAAACAAGACTCAAGCGTTTCTTAAAAAATTAAATCTACCATCACTATCGACAGAAGAGGCATCTGAAATGATAGAGCCAATTACAATACAGGAAATATCAGATACTATAAAAAATCTCAAAAATAATAAATCCCCGGGTACAGATGGGTTTCCAGGGGAATTTTATAAAGTTTTTACAAGGGAGATCACACCAGTACTACATAGAGTCTTTAATTACGCTCTGGCATCAGTTGACTCGCCAAAGACTTGGTCAGAAGCCACCATTTCGGTCCAACATAAGGAGGGCAAAGATCCAACTTCATGTGAGGGATATAGACCTATCAGCTTGCTCTGCAATGATTTGAAAATATTAACAAACATAATGGCACGTAGAATGCAGAGGCATATAACTAAATTGATCAAACCAGATCAGACAGGCTTTATTCCTGGAAGGCAAGGTGCTAACAATATCAGGAGGACATTAAATCTTATCTCATGTGCCACAAACAGATCCCAGCCTGCCATGCTGCTCAGCTTAGATGCACAAAAAGCATTTGATAGAGTAAAGTGGAGCTTCCTTTACCAAACATTAGCAAATTTCGGGTTTCACACAACCTTCATAGACTGGGTGAAAATGGTATACAAAAACCCCAAATCACGGATTAGAGTCAATGGGTGTTGCTCAGACTTTTTCCTACTCAAAAGAGGAGTCAGACAGGGAGACTGTCTGAGCCCTTTACTGTTTGCTGCAAGTATGGAACCATTGGCTGAGTCAATAAGATAAGATAAAGATATAAAGGGAATAAGGGATGAGGGGGGGGCAGAACACAAAATATCACTATTCGCAGACGATATATTAACATATATAAATGCACCCTCCACCTCATTAATAGCCCTGGTGAATAACCTGAACGAGTATGGGGAGATCTCAGGATATCTGACCAATGAGGCTAAATCAGTAGCTATGATGCTCTCAGGTCAATGTCCAGCCGATTTAAAGGGGAAATTCAAGTTCAAATGGACTAATATAGGGTTCAGATATCTGGGTATTATTATTACCTCTGCTACATCACAACTATTTGAAGCGAACTATGGGAAATTGATAACTGAAATTAAAAAAGATTTGACCAGGTGGGAGATTTTGCCTTTGACTCTGATGGGGAGGATAGAAACTGTGAGAATGAATGTACTACCAAGACTGTTGTTTTTGTTCCAGTCATTGCCTATTATGGCCTCTAACTCTACCTTTAAAATGTTAGACAAGATTATATCCCAATTTATTTGGAAAAAGAAAAGGGCTAGAATTAAATATAAGACACTTCTTTGTCCAAAAGAGAAGGGAGGGTTAAATTTACCCAATTTAAAAAATTACTATTGGGCTGCTCAACTCAGGGCTATTATTATGTGGATTACTAATGATGCAGATACATTGTGGGTGGGAATGGAACAAAACTCTATAAATGTACCTATAGAGTCGCTTCCATTTTTGAGTGAGGTAACACTAAAGAGGCTGAAGGTGGGTAATGTCTGGATCAGGGGGACAATGTTGTGGTGGCAGCCCGGCTGACAGTGAGTGTCCTGGTTTTTTCTCCTTTTTATCAGTTTTCTGCTGCTTCCCTGTGTTTTCTCCCCTGTGTGCTCTCTCTCCCTCTGCTACTGAGCCCAGCCAACTACCTGCACCTGCATCCCATCAGCCACCTCGTCAGCCTGCCACACCTGCCAGTAATCAACCTCATCCCAGCCTGTATTTCAACCCCGGTTCTCCACACCATCCTCGCTTGAGCGTCGTTGCTCCATACCTGGTGTCACTTCTGTGTTCAAGCTTCCATTCTTGTTTTTTTTCCCCCCACACTTACCCTGTGCCTTGTGTTATGACCCTGGGGTCATATTTTGTTGTTTGTTTATCTCTCCTGGCACTGTCAGCTGTTCTCCTCCATTAGAGTGTGTGTGTGTGAGTGTATGCAGGTACTGGAGAACAGGTGGACACACTGGATTGGTCTGGTTGAGCTGATTGGAGCCTCCTGATTGGGTATCTGGATGACAGCAGCCATCTTAAGCCCTACTGACAGGAACTCTCCCCCTCTCTCTGCCATTCCCAACCTGCCTGAGGACTGTGTGTTATGTCTGTGTTTATTGTACATAGTGAACGGTTGTGACTATATTCAACTTAGATTGTAAGTAGTTTATCGTAGTCCTTCTGATTGTCTTATGACAACCTGGTTTTGTTGGCTTTGCCATTTTTGTTGCTATGAAGCAATTTCCTTTGTAGCTATATTGTGTCAGCTACTAGCAGTGAGTAGGAGTGAGAAGCCCTTTCTTTTGTTTGCACCGTTTTCTCCTGTTTTTGGACTTAGAAGCCTAGTTTTAGAGCTTTGTCTTTTCTTTACCTTTTGGGTTTAGGAAGGATTTAGGTTTTTCTTAGTGTTTTGGTTGTTGTTTTGGGCACTGCTCATCTCCGATGTATAATAAAAACTGCTAAATTGTATTGTGTGCTGGCCTTGTTTGGGAATGGGAAGAGTGGGAGGCCACACATTTGTTACATCCAGGACACCCCTAGACCTTGGGACGTAACACTTGTCATTGTCTTCCCTAACCTTGTCTCTGTCTGTTTCCCTCCCAGGTACACTCACCCTCGTCCTCTGTTCGGCTGGGCTCGTCCACTGGCCCACTCCTCTCCGGACTTCCCTCACGGCGTCCTCCCTGTTCCCCCACCTCTCCTCGCTTCCTCGGCCCCTGTGTTCCCTGGCCCCCTGTCTCCTTGGTTCCCCGTGCCTGTACGTCCCTCAATAAACCTCCTTCCCTCTGAGTGCAGCATTTGGGTCCTCTCTGTCCACACACCACACCCCGTAACAGACAATGAGAATATGGTCAATGGTACGTAAGAAATTGAAACTGTCGAACACCATTTGTAGAGCCACTCGAATCTCGACAAACCCAGATTCTTTTCCATCTATGATGGATGCAGGATATAATAGATGGACACAACAGGGGTTAAAACATATTGCACAAATGTTTAGGGGACAAACCATGAAGTCATTCCAACAGTTAACACAAGAATTTAATTTACCAGCCCATGATTCCAAGTTTCTACAACTAAGACATTACCTTAAGACACATAAGGAGTGGGAGAAGATCTCTAACACCCCATCGAAACTAGAAGAATTGTTAATGGCATATACAGAGGGAGAGACAAAGAAAGGGATTATATCAAAACTGTATAAGGTACTGCAATTGGAATCTAACTAACAATTTGGATGTCAAGGAAAAATGGGAATTGGAAGCAAATATAATAACAGATGAACAATGGTAAGAAACATTCAAGCAGGACATAAGGTAACTAGCAGCCTGACGTGGAGGGAGTTTGATTGGAAGATCAAAATGAGGTATTTTCAGACTCCATCTATTACATCAAAGTATAGTAATACTTCGGAGAGATGTTGGAGGGGTTGCGGATTGGTAGGGGACTTTACACATATATTTTGGGATTGCCCTAAGATTTTAGATTATTGGAAGAATATTCAAAAGGAAATAGAACAGGTTTTGGGTATTAACTTTAATTTTAATTTAGATCTAGCATTGTACATATTGGGTATAGTCCCAGATAATGCTATAGATAGGAACTTGACTTCTTTACTGAGAATTCTGCTTTTAATAGCAAAGAAAGCAATCACAGCCTCTTGGTTGAAGCCACAGCCTCCCAGTATAACTGAATGGAGAGAAAGGGTAAAAAGTGTGTTCATCATGGAGAAAATCACAGCGAGGTTGCAGCTCAAGTCAGACAGGTTTGATCAAAGATGGTTACCAGTAATACAGACAATGTCAGAACTCTAGTTACCTCTTTTATTGGTTATTTTTTTATTTATTTATTTTCCCCCTCAACTTAAATGTAATTTATACTTACTGCAGTACACTTGACAGTGAAGGTATGTACTTATTGCTACAGGTTACTCAGGTTCTCTCCTTTTAAGACGGAGGAAGGAATGTTTGGGAATAGAAGGCGAAGGCATGATCATAGGTTAGAAGTGAAACTGTCAGAGCATCTAATGTATATGTTGTTGTATATATGTATGCTTGTCATTTCATGTGAAATAAATAAAAAAAGTAAGTTAAAAAAAAAAGAATTTGATTGCTTTTACTTTATACCTTAAATGAATAATTTTGTCTTGCAGGCAGGTGCAGAGTTAAGGCAAATAACTTTTGCAAACCCTTACCTTCACTGTAATTTTAAGGCAAATGATGAGAAAACGGTTTAACAGTAAATACATTGAGGCATGCCATAATTTGCATTTGATCATTAATTAATGGAATATCAAGTCTTTATGACATTAACGTGGAGCTCCTTCTCAGCAGAGCCTGTCGATTTACAAACCTGGGATAAGAAACAAAAGGGGGAAAAAATTGGCTTCATGGACCGTTTATGTTGGTTATAGCCTACCAACTATATAGTTATTCAAATTCAGTCAAATATTGGTCAAATATTCCAAAACATTTTTGTCTTACAGTTTTAAACACATGCATAGAATAGCCACATTTAGTAAACTTGAGCATTTTTGACAGGCACCTGTAAGGACAGCAGTGACCCTGACGAAGTGGTCCTTCGAGCGTCTCCGTTGCATAGTAACGAAAACGGTCAGGAAAATCATGCAACATATACAAACTTTTAATCTCTGGATACCTATATGAGTAAAGTAAGTCATTTAATGCTTCCTCATGATAGTCAAAAAGAAAATACACACAACTGTCAGCGACATTTGAACCAGCAACTTTACCCTTTCGTTAACAAATTGTATTAAATGTAATTTAGTTCGCGGCGCTAGCATCCGTTGCCTCCTACAGGGTGCTAATTGAAGATAACACTAAGAAAGCACTTGACACACAAATGTAATGAATGACCGCCTCTGTATTGTTCTTCGTTTCAGCTAGCATCAATGTTGTTGATGTGAGTATCGACGGACCGGTGAAATGAGCGATATCAAGCCGAACCACATGATGTTAACCTCGGCTAAGCAATGGCAAGCTAACGTTAGCTAACACGTAGTCTCGTTGTCAATAGCCGTCGGATGTTAGCTCCTCACGGAGCTTAGATCCCTTTGTCAGGTATTTATAAATTCAGCTAGGCAAGCGTTGGCTAACACAACCATCTGAGTCAAAACGATAGAAAGTAAAAAAAAAAATAGGAAGGAAAAGGAAAATGGCTGGCGACGGTGGCAGCATCCCTGAACTGGACCAAAAGAAGTACGATGCAGACGAACAAGTGAAGATCATCTGTCTGGGAGACAGCGCAGTTGGTAAATCTAAGTGAGTATTAAGTTAGCTGTAACAATCTTAGCTCCATGTAGCTCTTTTGTGTTTCAAAATAGTTTTAACTTTCCTCAGTAGAGTATCTCTAGTCCTGTTTAACATAAATTTATTGTTGTGTTTAGTTATTTTTTCTCTCTCTCTTTCTCAGGCTCATGGAGAGGTTTCTCATGGACGAATAGTATCCTTTACCAACCTTAAAAATTATAAATGTGTCAGTCATTTTTTAAAGTCCTATTTTATCATCCTACCATAGCCATTACAGCCATTGTCTGCACGTCAAAAAAGCAGATAGTTTGTCTTGAGAGGTTAAGATCATTAACTCTTTCTACAGTCGTCCACAGCAGTTGTCAACCTATGCTTTGACTCTCTACAAACACACAGCCACAGTAGGAAACAAGACAGTAGCAGTCGGTATGTATCGTACAAATTGCTTTTGTTCTGCTCTCAGTGACAGAAAATTATTTTACCCAGTTGAAAATCGTCTTGTGGGTTTTGTTTTTGATTCACAGATTTCTGGGACACCGCTGGTCAGGAGAGATTTCAGAGCATGCATCCCTCATACTACCACAAAGCACATGCATGCATCATGGTAAAACACACTCTTGGTTTCAAGACTTGTGCCTTTCAGTAATACTTTAGTCTGCCCTTTCTTGCTCCCTGCCAGGAACTTGCTTTGATTTTCTCTGCAATGCCCTTTCCACCTACCCAAGTCAAACTTTTCCGGCACATATACAACCTGCGCAGAAGTTTTAACTAGGACTCATTATAGATCACACATCAAGGTCATTAAGGTCAGGATTGATTAAAAAGGTTTTTTTTATCACTTATAAGGCACTACATGGCTTAACTCCTGCCAACATTTCTGAGCTACTAACCCCTTACACCACCGGATGTCCTCTTAGGTCATCCAACCAAAAACCTTTAGCTTTACCGCGTGTCAAACGTAAAACAAAAGGCGACTGTTCTTTTTCTGTCCTAGCACCCAGACTCTGGAAAGATCTCCCTCCTCCCATCAGATCAGCTGAGTCTGTGGACTGTTTCAAAAAACATTTAAAAACCCTCTTCATTCGGATTGCCTTTTAATAACTCCGATGGTGTATTAAGGGTGGTGTCTGGTTGCTGAATACTGTCTGTGGTTGTGTGTCTGTTGCGTTTGTATGTGTATGACATTTTTAAAGAATATTTTTACTCTCATGAACCTTGAGTTTTTATTTCTATGCTTGATATTATGTACAGCACTTTGTAACCCATGTTAAAAAAGGTGCTATGTAGTAAGTTTTACTTACTTGGCCCATTCTTGTGCGTTATGCAGAAGAAATGATGAAATATCACAATGCATTCTGGTTAAGGTGCACACCTGTCATGAATTGTGATTGAAGATGAAGATGTAAGGCAGTCCTCTTGCAGAGAAGTCAACAAGGAGTTGTTAGATGACTGCTGCCAGCAAAGAAGGCTGAACTGCTTTGTAAACCTTTCTTCTGTCTCTTTCTGAGGTTTTTGATGTTCAAAGGAAGATCACATATAAGAATCTGGGCAACTGGTATAAGGAGTTGAGAGAGTACAGACCAGAGATACCCTGCTGTGTGGTGGCCAACAAAATCGATGGTGAGTTTAGCTCTGCCACTGCACATAACAATGGATGTTCTGGTTTTAAGACTGCATTAATGTAAATGTTGCTGCAGGATAAGTGAACGTGTTTTTTTTTTTGTTTTTTTTAAGCTTGCACCTGTTGTCTCTTTGCTCTGTCCGTTTGGTTAATTGTTTGACCAACAAAATTGACTCAAGATTTACAGATGTTAAATGTTTTTTTTTTTTTTTTGTCATGTCTGCAGCTGATTTGAAGATAACACAAAGAAGCTTTAACTTTGCAAAGAAGCAAGGACTCCCATTTTACTTTGTATCAGCAGCTGATGGGACTAATGTAGTTAAGGTTTGAAATTCTGTTTATCATCCTGCAGTATTAATGGGAGTGATCCTTACCTTTATTTCTTTATACATTTCAAGCTCAGTAGTTTTACAGTTAACTGTGTAACTATGTTGAACATGCGCTTACAACAGGATTGACAGTGTGTCATTTATGAACAAAAGTATAAAATTAATTCACCCTATAATTCAGTATAATCGCATAAATTCAACTGGCCCTGTGTGTGTTGATACTTCTGACTGTAACTGTCATAAAACAGATGTTCAGAGAGATGATCAAGAGGGCAGTGGACTACAAGCAAAACCCCAGCGACTTCATGGATGAAGTGATGCAAGAATTAGAGGTACATCTCTCTGAATACCAAAACACAGTCTGATTACTGATGGGCTCATTTTTTAAGCTGGTGTGGATTTATACAACTGTAACTAAAGGACTGCAAAGAATAAATGTTTTATCAGGCAATACTTGCTCTAAGAAACTCTTAAATGCTTTTAAGAGCCTGTCTTTGTTGTTTTTTTAAATAGAAATTTTACAGAATCTTAGTCAAAACCTACATTATTTAATTAAAGGAGTATTTGTGCACTCCAACACAAATTTTTTTTGTTCATGTGGAAAATGTTTGTGCTACTTTGCTTTCTTTGTGGCTGAAATTATTGAAAACGTGTGTACTGATGTCATTTGTTGCACTTATCTTATAGAACTTTGACCTGGAGAAGAAGGAAGATAACTCAGAAGCAGATGAAGACGGCTTGAAAGCAGAGAGTCCTGAGTTGGTGTCATAGACGTTTACAGATCCTCAAAACCCTCCTGTCGTCTCATGGATCATTTGTCCTCCTCTGGGGTTGATGCTGTGAATAAATTATTCTTTTAGTCAAAATGTCAGACATCTCTGACCCTCTGTGACGGACACCGTCAACAGGCACATTTTTGGCCCTTGTGAATTGTTGGTCGTCTGCTTTTATACCATTGGTGTGTAACTGTACTGCCAGAGGTTGGCATATAGTCTTTTAGTCAGGTTTTAAGTCACTGCCCTCCATCTGTCAAGTGACATTTGCAGGGAAATACACCTGGTTGAATAATTAGGAATTGTGTTGTTGTAGGTTCTGTTTTTTTCATTGTCCTTCATACTTTGTCTAACAACATCTACTATAATAACAGTAAGGGTAAAATCCTACAATCAGACTGAATGTTTGCTAATTTTGTGTCGTAATAAGAATGTGAATCTTTGAAAACAAAGTCAAAGAGACAACAAAGAGAACATGTGATTATGAACCATATTTGCTGCTGTTCTCGATGTTGGTGTGTAGCATTGTGTGCTGTGCCAGCAGGGCGCTGCATCTGTTGCATTCATTTTATGATGTAATGTTTCTTAGCGCCCTTTAAATGAAAACTTAATGTACCATGTAACCAAATTGTTATCATGTCTCTCTGTGATCCAGCAGTAGGCACAAGATCAACTTCAACATATATTGAGTACACATCAGTTGTATTGAACTCTTGTGAAAGCTCAGCCAGCTGTGACCTTCATGATGGATTTGTGATGGTTGTGTGTAGGTGACACTCAATTTAACACACCGTTCAATAATTTCTATATGATGATTATGTTGTGGGCCCTGCGATGGACTGGCGACCTGTCCAGGGTGTACCCTGCCTTTCGCCCAGTTTAAACTGGGATTGGCTCCAGCCCCCCGCGACCCTGTACGCAGGATAAGCGGTTGACGATGGATTATGTTGTGCGCAGAAACAATGTGTATAAATTTATGTTTGACAGTTTTTTTGGTGGCATTTACTTACAATAAATCACACTGGAACATAATTGTAATACAGAAACAGTGAATTAGCAGACTTTGATGCAGTTCATGTTTTAATTATAAATTTATTACATAATATAACAAACATATCTTTGTGGTGGAGATATCCTGGGCAACATCTCAGATCTTGCCTCAGCCTTCACTGCTGTCACCCTTGCTCTATTTGCATGAAGAATACTAGGTAGCTTCTGGTTAACCTTATTAAAATGGAGGAGGTGTTCTAATGCTATAAGCGTCCAGAAGTCACTGGGAGAAAGGTTGGAGAAATTTGCCTGGTAATCGGATGTTGAGAAGGGGAAGCTAACCTGTGAGACAAGGCTGAGGCGTTGCAGTGATACATCCACCGTTCTAAACTTCACAGTGCAAACAAGGAGAAAACCAACAATGAAAAAAAAAACCCTTTGATGATAAGATCACTGGTTCCAGTGGGTGACCGGACCCCCCAGTGGGTTTTTAAAAAAGTTACACTGCTCCCCCTACACTATGTAGATTGTGCTTTGTTGATTAGAAAATAAGACAAAGATAACCCTTCACTGAACTTATTTGACCTAATGATGTGTAAGTCTGTTACACATTGCTCTGTAGCATTATTTTGCATCTGTATTTGTGGTAAACTTACACACCTATCTGACCTGTTTTCTACAACACGTTCACCTCTTAATAAGTGTTTGTATTTATATGGGAACAGTAGTAGATAATAACCTTCATCACAGTAAAATCAAGCAATTGTGATACTTTGTCTCAAAATTTAAATAGAAATGTTAATGCAAAGCTCACAGGTAGATGTATATAGGCTATTCATATATGTGTGTGTGTGTGTGTGTATATATATATATACACACACACATACATATATATGTATACACACATATATATAAATTTAAACAATAGCCTTTTTTACAAAATAATAACTGACTGTATTTCCACCTGTCAGAAATACAGAAGGATCTAGCAATGTCTGTAGTTCTCAAGATTTCCAGGAGATGGCACCATATTATTGAGTTTTAACAGCTCAAGAATGCTGTAACTAAGATAGTCCTAAAGCAAAGACAAATATACAGTTAAAAGTTAAGTTATTTTTGGCACATTTTTTCTCTGTGTTCTTTGTTCCTTACTGAATCACCTCATATAGCATATCCAAAACTCAGAAACTGAAGGTCTGAAAAAGGAAAAAGGAGTGCTGCCAGACAGAGTGGAGGGTAAAGAGCGCAGATGCCATCTGGGAATGGGTTTACAAAACAGTGACACTGCATAAGCTGTACCTACACAGTTAAAAGGTGAGTTGTAGTTGTCTTTCAATATAAAACATGACGATGGTTTCTTTCAATACCCTGTGGTAACCTCACTCTCTCTGTCTGTCTCTGCCCCTTGGGCCGAGCAGTCCACTTTTTGAAGACGTCAGTACAAAACAAGAATGCAGATCAGTGATCAATCTGGAATAGATCATGAATGTATGCATGCATTTTTCTGTTTGTGTGTAAGTATTGTGTGTGAGTGTGTGTGTTTGTGTGACACAGCCACTGCCGGGAATCTCTGATGGTAAAACAGTAAGGCTATAGTGGACTAACTCCAAAGATGTAAACCTTAACAATCAACCATACCCACTGTCACGTGTATTCTTATTGTCTCTCTCTCAACCAAATACACACAAGAAATGGAAACCTGCACACACACGCGCAGTCATACACACACGTTACGCACACAAGAACGACCACACAGAGACATTCAGCGAATCCAGATGCACGCATGCGCTTGGACGTTGGGTGGCTTTTATGTTAGCACCTTGTCACCTTGTTTTGTGCAAATCATCCCCTAGTTCATAGATCAGAGTTCAAAAGTTCAAGAGTTCATAGAAAGAATAAAATCTGCTCACCTTTTCCACAGGTGGTTAACTATGCATATATGCCAAACATTCATATATAGATCTATATACTTTTTGTTTTTCAAAAATTTATATGAAATCTATCATATATACATTGCTTGTGATTAAAAAAAAAAGCAAATTTTCATAGTTTGTTCATTTTTACAAGTGTTAAGTAAGTTTAGAATGGACAGGATATATATATATATTTCTGTCTTTTTTCTGTCACTCTAAAACTCAAATGAGTGAAAGATTTAAGAATCATGTTCCACACGCTACAAAATCTACCCACAGTGTCCGAGGGTAACAAATCAAGAAAGGAAAAAATAAAGAGAAAACAATAGAAAAAAATAAACACAAAAAGTCCAAATGAGTCTGAAGACATACTGTAACACTGGAGTCAGAAGTAAAATGATCAGTGAGGTCACAGTGAGGCAGTGAGTGCTATTCCTACAACCCCGATACAACGTTATATTCACCACCCGCTTTACAAACTGTTAGCAAAACAAGAAAAGAAAAATAGATGCACACAACTTCTCGCCAACTGAAATTGCCTCGGCATACTGACGGGATGCTGCTGATGTACAGAGGTTTATAGTGGTAATAGAGATTGCCTGGCCATCCGTTAGAGAAAAGCTATGGATAAAATGCTTTTTGTTGCGTGAATAAAACTCACTGATTCTCACTGCCAGCAGAAGCTACTCATGAGTACAATTGCAGATTTTGTATTGTTAAAGTAAAATTCAGTTGTTGTTTTATTTTTATTTTTTCTTTACAACCTGGGTGTTAGTTCTGGCTGCCACCATTTATGATAATATTTCACTCACTAAGTAAATCGTAGAGAAAAGAGAAGCAGCTACATTGCAAGACACAGCCAGGTTGTAAAATACTGAATTTTCTTTAAGACTTACAGAGGCTTTCCCATCCCCACAGCCTGATAAACACATTTCCTGCATTTCAGAAGGGCATATACTTTATGTCTAGCTCATTTAAGCCCATATATGACAAGTTTTTGTTGGTTATACACCAGGTAAAAGCTGCTTTATTTCAACAGTTTCTGCTTAATTTGGGTTCAGGTTCACACACTTGGATCTTATAATAGTGATTTTCTTCTGCAGCGAAAAGGATATCTGAAAGAGATTACTACTATCTTGCACCTTTCCTTTCCACTGGTGTTGATAAAAAGCCCATTTTGTTTCCCTCTCCTGACATCCTTCTTTCACTATACCAGACCTTGTGCAGCCTGGTCTGAGAAGCATCATCAGTGTCACAGGGATGGAAATTTTACTAGCCCTTAAACATTTTTCAGACTGTGGTGGTGTTAAATTGTCCTCAGGGGTAAGAATCAAAATGGATAATATTAAAACAACAGCCAACAACCTCTCCATGCTAGTGCCCCAAACTTCCATCCCTGAGTGATTAACAGGCAAAAGATGAGGAGCCCCTTTCACCAGTTAGCTGTCTCATTAGGTGGTCCTTACTGTACGCTACTGTGGATAAAGCAGAGTCAGAACCACATCACGTCTGAAGCAGCAGGGATGGGTGTCAACTGTGGTCTCAGCCTCACATTATGGGATGCCCTTTAGTATGAAGGAAGACCGTAAGAAAATAAAAGCAAACAACAAACTCTGTCCAAGACATGATGCAACTTGTCATGCTACGATTCAAGAAAGGGCGACCATAAGGAAAGTTGTATACCTATGACAAAAATTTCATTTCCATATCTATATACTTTTTTAAAATTTCAAATATATATATTTATTATGTATATAATTGGTAGAAATGAGTAAACTATTGGTGGAATAAATTTAAAGATTTCTCTCTGCCTTCTATACTAAAAACCAAAAACAGGCGCAGATTAATTTATTATAATTCCTTTTTGCAACATTGTCTTTTCTTCTGAAAGCTATATTTAGATACATATATATCATATTATATAATACCTATATATATAATATTCCCTTTGGAAAACCAAAATATTGATTATGAAAAAAGCCACGAGTGTTGGTTAAACATTCTCCAAATATAATAGATAGTACAGTCTGGGTACCAAGGCAGAGGGGGTTTCTCCCGTGGTTTACTTTGTAGAGCTCCACCTCTGGGCTCCAGAGTCTTCGGTTTAAAAACAACAGCAGGAAAAGAGAAGACGCACCTTTTCAGAGCAGTCCAAAGTCCAGTGTTCATCATCGCTGATCTCTGTATAAATATTTTGAAAGGCAACTGAGCTTTCTGTTTGGAACGAAAATTCATCCTCCTCCTCCTTTACTCAAACTGCTAAAGGCTTTCAGAGGCCTAATAGATGGAGGGATAGAGGTAGAGAGGAGAGGAGGGAATAGTGTGAGAGAAAGTGTGGGTGTTACTAAGGGAACAACTGAAGCTTTCACAAATCAAATGTTTTAATTGGAGCTCATGCGATTCTCCTCGGCAAAGAAAGTCCAGAGCCCATTTTGAGGTCTGATCTAATTAACTGCAGGCAAGGAGATGGGCAGACACTAAGGGCTGAGTAGAGGCGGACGAATGTATTGACTCCTCCTCTTCAGTGCAGTGCCAAGTGTTGGGTGTTAATGCAGAATGGGAACGTGAAGTGTTGCTAAGGACCACAGGTAAACATTTGTGATGCAGAACATAAAATCAGCGAGTAAAAGACGAGCGGTCCCCAGCTTTTCCCTTTTCTCAAATCTTTCTATCCATCTGTTGCTTTGTCTCAGGGCAGGGGTCAGCTCTCTAGCAGCAGTTTTAGTGCTCGTTCAATGTTCATGCGGTGTCCAACTCGTGTCACTCCCAGCTCAGCAAAATCATCCTTGGTTAGAGCCGGGAGGTGAGAGCCTTCGATCTCATGTTCCTGAAACCCTGCTCTGTGCTCCCCCAGATTGATGCTCTCCAGCCAGTCTCCAACATCGTACTTATTCCAGAGGTGCAGGGGTTTCTGGTGGAAGGGCCGGAGGGCTAAAAGTGGTGAGCCCAGCCCAGGGGAATGGGAAGGTGACGGGGATGGGGAGCGAGAGCGGGAACGGGCGCTGGAGCTCCTCATTACAAAGCGGACCTCTTTAGGCTCCTGGGGTAGGCTGAGGCTAGAGGATTTGAGGATGGTTTGTGGCGGTGTAGTCGGTGAGGTCGGTAGGCCGTAGCTTGAGAATCGTCCAAGAGGGTCGCCCCGATCAGGAGAGCCTGAACCTGGGCTTTGAGTGCGTCGGGTGACGGGGTAACGGCTGCCGGGGCGGATGGTGTATGTGGTGCCATAACTTCTCTGAGAAATGGTGTGGAGCTCGCCTAGGCTGCTGAAAAGTCTGGGGGAGACAGGCAGAGACAGAGAGGGTTTCAGAAATGTTAACAGAGGAGATGGCGGTGAACAAAGTGAAAATAAAGGAGAAAAAAGGAGACCTAGATTTGGGTTATATGTGTAAACCGCTGTAAGTTCTTTTAAAGTAAAGTTAGTGTACGCTAGAGGTTTATGACTGTTAGACAGACCAAGCCATGTCTCACATCACAGCAACATCAAATCAGCAAGCTGCACTCATTGGTTATGAGTTTCTGAAATTCTTTACAGCTTTAGATAAAAATCTTTTTACAACTCAATTATGAGACGCGGGACTTACATCATTATTTCAAGCAATACTTTGACTATATACACGGCAGCATTTGAGAGTAAGATGCCATTATTTCCACAGACACCCAACCTACACTCAACACACCTGATGATTAGTGAAATTCTGTTTCCTCTAATGAATTTAACCAAAATCTACTTCCTGTTAAGACATACTGTATTCTTCCCTGAAGTGATTACTGTAACGGACAAACAGCCAGAAGCTTAGCATTAGATTAGAATTACAGTATCAAACAGATTTTGTGTTTTACATTGAATCTGCATAGCACTAACCTGAAGGCACTACTTTAAAATACGACAAATACAGTACAAACATGCACACACACACACACACACAAACACACACACATATATTTACCTACATTTAGACACAGTAGGCAGATCTATATTAAGAGTAGAATTTGGTTATGCGATGCACATTCCAATTTGCCTTTTCTGACAAAGACTTATCGGAGTCAGAGGTGACATTTATCATGTCTTTAGACTTCTGTTAAAGGCCATGTGGAGGTACACAAAACAGCATCTTTTTCCAAATTTAATTTAGTCAAAAGAATACTAATTTACATCTGAAGTGCAGCCAACACCTGATTTAATGCAGTCTACCATTTAGGGAATCTCAGTGACCAACAAACCCAATGTTACCATCTGCAGAATTAAGAGGAATTGCAATAAATTGGCAATAATTCTTAAGCAGTAGGAAACTGCAACAGCAGTCACTCAAGGTACAGTAAATGATGGTTTCATCTACCTTTTTAAGTCTGACCCTCTTTTGAAAAATAATAGAAAACAGTTTAAAAAAGCTATTACTACACTACTGCTCTAATGGAGAAAGGTGGTCAGAAAGGAGAAGACAGATGTATTAGAGATCAAGGCTAACATGAGAGTTTTATCTAGCTTGGTGCAAGGAGGAAGAAGTGAAAATAGAGGCCTAAATACGGTAAGAGTTAGTATGATGGTGTCTGTTTTATTCATGCATGTTAGTGAGTGTCTTATGTACAAGTGTGGCACAGGTTTTCCCTCTACTGCATGTGTTTGGAAACTTTGATATGGGTGAGATTTGTACTAAAGAGTGTAATGGAACAAAGCTAGCTTGGCAGCGCACAGGCTAGAGAAAGACTACAGGGAGCCGACGGATATGAGATGAGCTCCATGCACACTTACACAGTCGTCCTGCCCTCCTGGGCGCACAGTCAGTTCTAGACCAATCAGATCAGAGCAGCAGGGCGGAGCATGCAAGGTGAGCAGAGAGAGAGCAATGGGAGAGAATGTTAGCATCACTCCATGAGACGCAGCCTGCCAACCAGACTTATAGTCTGCTTCAGCCTAACTCTGCTGTCTGTGACATGCCTTGTGTATGCATGTGTATGCACAGGTGTGTGAATGTGACTGTATGAGCGTGGCTGTGAGTATATATTTTCACACTTTTATTTATGTGCGTGTGCGTGTGATGGTGTAACTGATGTATAAGCATGAGAAAGACAGCAGAGTAGGCTTCAGGACTGGACGGTCTGACCAGTAGGCTACATGAGAGAGAAATGAGCACACTATTCACATATCAAACACTGCACAAACAAAGAAAAACAAATAAACAAACAAACAAACAAAAAGGTGGGCACATGTCTCTTGACATTTGTGGTTGCTTTTGTACTTATTCTGAAATGATGTGGACTAAATTATTCTCATTACAAGTTGTAGATATTAATTCACATTTGTATGTGCTGCACTGCATATAGGGGTTGTGTGTTTTCTGATCAAGATATACAACGTTTTAGCGTGGTCCAATAAGCAAGACAGTCAGGGACCATGGCCATCCTCAACACAATCACTGAAAAACAAAACAAAGTTATGCAAATTACGAAAACAGAGGAGAACAGAAAACCAAAGAGCAAAACTGAAATAAAATGAGTACCACAGGTTTCTAAACCATCCAGAGCTATGATACATAGCATGTGAATGAGGTGGATACAAGAAAGACAAAATACAGCAGCATGTGTGGTTTTTGAAGGGGTTCAAATGAGGCACACAGTGGATGGTCTAATGATGGAGTAACATTACAATTAAGGGTGCTGGGATGCCTATGCAGTATGTGAAATGCTCCAGCAGGTGAAGAGAGAGAGAGAGAGAAATAATGGTGTGCATGATCATCTTTGTCACAGCCGAGGGTAGTCAACTGTCAGGATGGAGGCGGTGGGGATGACTTTGATTGCATAATCTCAGGAAAGGACGAGCCCAATCAGAAGTGAGTGTAACATGTTATTTTTGATATCATGATCACCTTTCCCATCCTAGGACCATGGTGTTTTTGAGGCACGAATTGATGACTGATGGTTAATTTGGCTCAGTGTCACATACTGACTTCATATCTCATTTGTGGTCAGCCAGGCAATGCATTGTCTAATAGTACAATACTGGTAAAATGATGTGACTGCAAAACATGCTCAAATGTATGCTTTCAAAATTGTTTTCAATTGTTTTATTGGAGGTAAATCCTACATCCAAGAATTCCAGAAGCAACAAGAAGTAGCAGCAGACTTCTGTTGACACCAAACTACACTGTCACTCCCACATAGAGGACAACAGTTACAGTTTAAAAATTCTGCCAATTGCCACCACTACTCAGCACGAAAGGCCAATTACTAGCAGCCCTATGCTGATCAGTTCTAGAAAGATTTTCTATACTTTTCCCCGAGATAGCTATGTAACTAATTTAGTTGACAGGTGGGTGGAAACCCCAATGTGTGAAGCCCTCTGACGTCAGTTGTGTGGAGTTGATCAGCTCCTCTTACTGATGTCAGGGATGAGGGGGAACGAGTCTATTCTAACATCTTCTCAATCTTAGATTGTCTCTTGTCTCATCTTTCAAGTCCATTTAATCAGCAGTGAAGTTACATGGAAGCACATTTTTCCACCCTTCTTACTCACATCAACAGAAATGAGGACGAGAGAATAAGAAAGAGAGAGGAGCTAGCTATAAAATCAACTGCATCTGAAGAGTCTAGACTGATAAATTTCTGTTTATGAACAACTCTCCTGAACAGCACATTAAAAACAAGAGTCAATTTCATGGTTGACTAAAACTACAATGGACAACCGCCCCCCCAAAAAAGCCAGCATTTGTTCTTCGAACATCAGATTAACTTCCAACCTGCCGAGCCATAAAACACCTAAGGAAACATTGAAAGCCAAATCCTGCGTAGATCAAAATAGAAGATTCCACCATTTATTTGACAGTAACTCCATCTCAGGACTTTTGACAAGGTAAGGTCTGGTAGTCATGGCATTGTCATGGCTGTTAATGCCGTGATATTAAGGGGATGGTTTTACAATGACACACCATTGTAGTTCAGTCATGTTCAAATACTTGAAAATACATCCTTAAATCTTTGAGGTTATCACTGATATTACTGCAGGATGGAGGAGTGTGATAAGAAGGAAACTACAGCTTCTGGTCTTATCAAATGTATATCAGTGATGACTGCAAAGAGCTGTGGATATAAGGCTGTATTATGCATCATTTGAACAAGGACTCTGGGAAAAGCTTTAGGAGAAGCTGGAAGGGGAGCAACTAGAAGGGTTGTAGGTCAGAACCCAACAGTGACAGTGTGTGTGAGATTTCAGGAAGTGCATGCTTCCAAGCCCCGTTACCTTGTTTGCACCAAGAGATAATAGACTACACACACACACACACACACACACACACACACACACACACACACACACACACACACACACACACACACACACAAACTGTGTAGCACTAACTTATTGACTACTACTGTCTACTGTATGTACCAAACAACTCAGATCACTTAACAGGAAGCCAATGAGTACAACTGTAACTATGGAAACAAGAAGACTACTGTATATCTCTAATTTTTCTTGAAATTACTGAAAATATTTTATCTTCTCTTGTTTTAATCAATTTTATTCTGAATTAATCAGGTGATGCAAACAAGGTAACAAATAATATTGAAAAAAAAATTACATGAAACAAAACGAATAAAAGGGTTGTTCTCGTTTGATGGGATTAGTTGATAGGCTTGTTAGGAAAAATATATTTAAAAAAAAAAGCTTAGGTTTACCCTAGGGACTATAACCTTATGGTTTACTCTCTTCTGTGTCCTCACACCTGCAGAAATATAAAGGACTTCATTGTACTTTCAGGTATGGTGTGAACCCCCCCACCCACAGATAATACAAAAAAAACAGCACTGTGCATCAGACGCTTCAGATAACCATGGTGTCACTACGTAAGAGGCAGGTTTGTCTTCACTTCTTTATATGACTCATGGAAAGTTACAGCACATATTAACAATGTTGTTACACTAATAGTGTTAGGGAAGCTAATGCCAGCAATGCTGGTGACCTATAATTCATTATAACTTACCATCACAGTGGATTGGCTTAAACATGGATTCATTTGCACATAAAATGTGAGTAAAAGCACATCATATACAGAACTAAAACTTAAAGCTGCTGTTTTTGACTGTACGTATCCCTCTTGCAGTGAAATACTATCAGATTTCATACTGAAATAGACTCCAAATCCTGGTCTATAAAACATGTTTGCTTTTAAATAATAAAAGCCTCTGTGTTTGCAATCTCTCTTCCAGTGGGCTTATTGCAAGAACCAAGAGGGATTATCCACTGTAGACATAAACACTCATGTAAATAAAGAATATTAGAAAATGTTAATGAACCTAATTAAACTCTCTCTGTCTGACAATCTGCAATTCAATTTTATTTTATTTATTCAATTAAGATCCTTCTCTCTAAGGCTGGGCACTGAAATTGCTTTAGTTTGCTAACTGTGTCTTTGCCACCATATGAGTAAAATGTATAAATGAAACTTGAAATAATTGCTTTTAATGTTACCATTTGTTCAGTCCCTCAAGTTAATACAGTTTTGCATTACATTTTACTAGCTTTTCTCTTACCTGGCACCTGCCACTGGTGACTTCCTCCCAGGGTCAAGTGATGCTCCCATTGGTTCCTCTCCCAATGACCTAGTGTCTTTATTTAGCTGCTGTAGTCGTGAACTGAGTTCCCCCATAACAGATGGTTTTGCTCCCTCATCTGCACCCAGCCCAAGTCCCAGCCCACCAAGATTGCCCAAACTCCCAATACCTAGCCCCACCCCGGCCCACGAGGCTCCACTGGGTCCCCCCACAGCTTGGACCTCCGCTGGAAGAGGTAGCGTGGCTTGGTGGGGGCTAGTCCAGTCACTGACGCTGAACCACCTGAGGGCAGCCCAACTCCTCCAGCTGCAGCAGCAGCCAGGGCAGCAGCCTGTTGTTGTGATAGCAGCTCGCTGTCAGAGCTCTGCTTCAGCAGAGGGTCCCTGAAGGTGACGGGGCCTTTACTGCCTCCTATCTGGGACTTGAGCCGGGGCTTGGGAGGCACTGGCGGCTTGTCGAGCACAAAGGTCTGCCCGTCGGCATAGGAGGTGTGCGTGGTGTGTGTGTCGGCAGGCTCGCCGCTTTCTGAGGACAGTGTGGACATGCTGGAAACTGTGGAGACGGTGCTGGTGGTCTCGAGGTGGTGGTCTCGCTCTCTCTCACTGGAGCTGCGGGTATCAGCCTCCTCCACGCCTGAGTCAGCCGCAGAGCCAGACTCACCTACCGGTGGGGGCTCCAGAGGGTCAGAGGGCTTCCCTGAGACAGCTGCTGCACTGGATGGAGGTGGGGGCTGAGGCTGGGTGGAGGTCACAGTTGGGGTTGTGGGAGTTTGGGGTGTTAGTGTTGTAGGGGTAGTGATAGAGTGGGCAGGTTTAGTTGGGGACACTGGTGTCCCCTGTGCCTGAGCCAGCAGCCCATTAGCAAACTCATCCGGTGGTGGAACAACTCCAATTTTACGGAGCTCCTCTCTTGTTTCCTCATCACTGGAGGACAACATTGCAGGGGGCAGGGTCACTGTGTACGGATCCACATCCTCCTCTGAACTTCCCTGAGCCAGACTCTTGTCCTGGGCTGGACTGGCAGGACGCTGACTTTGAGGCTGGGCCTGGAGCTGGGCCTGGGCCTGGGGCTGGGAGACTGTGGGACTAGGGGATTTAGCCCGTGGACTTGGAGATTTGCTGGGCTCTGTGGATGTTGGGGCGAGTGTCTGTTCTAGTTCTGAACCCACGCCAACTGCCTGGCCATTACTGGTAGCATGGACCATGATTAGCCCTGCTGTCTTCTGCTGCGACGTATCCATAATACTGATCAACATACTTTTTTTATCCTCTAGTCTCTTCTCCTCCTTTCTCTCCTCTACTCTGGCCTCCATCTCCTGCCGGAATGATACAGGTGATGGTGATGTGGCCCACTGGGGTTTAGTGGGCTGGGGAACTAAAACAGATGCTGGGGGAACTCCATACCCTGCAGCCTTGGCGCCACTGGGCGAGAAAGGGGGAGGTGTGTGTGCCCCTTCCCCATGTGGAGACTCTTTGGTCTGAGGGTCAGTGAATATTACGCCCTGGCCTGCTCGCTCCTGTTTAGTCCTGGGCTCTGGGCTACTAGTTGGGGACTGAGAGGTCAGTGCCCTCTCTCTTGCGGCCAGCGCAAGAGCCAGTGGAGAGTTGGGGTCCAGGGGCTTTCCTGTGAGCGGATGGATAAAGGTGGTCCCACTAGGTGAGGGGCTCAGGGCCAAGGCCGGGGGAGGCAGTTGTCCCAGCTCTCGGGTGAGCATTCGTTCATCAATGGAGTGAGACTGAGTCAGAGAGGGGGCGTCAGAGCTGGTGGTGGACGCCCCTTCCATGGTCCCAACAGAAAGGAAGACAGTGGATTTCCTCCGTTCTTCTAGGCGACGCTCACGATCTTTCACCGCTCCAGCAATCGCAGCAGCGAAGGGACCCTTACCCTGAAACATCATCTCTCCCTGGGCACGCATACGCTCTCGCTCAGCCATCAGCTGCTGCTGGTAGTAGTCTGCACGGCTGGTGTGTGTGTGCCCATGAGTATGTGGGTGTCGTCCTGAGGGTGAGCTCTCTCTGGAGTGGGCAGCAGCTAAGGCCAAACTAGCTTTTTCTTGTGCATCTTCCACCTGCAGTAAGACAAAAACGACAAAAACAACCAAACATGTCAAAGTCAGAGGGTCTTTGACACTAAAGTAAAAAATATAACAATCACAAGACCATCCCCAACATGCAACCTACCTGTAGTTGTTTCACCAGAGGACTTTTCTTCCTCTGGGGTTTGGTGGGTGTGTACAGTCCAATGCTAAATTGACCTACATTAGCATAAGGGTTGTCAATAACCCGACCCTTCCTTTTGATTCGCTCAGGTGGTGTAGCAGCAGAAGGACGGGGAATTTCTGTGGGCTCTACAGGTAGATGAGAAGAGTCCTGGAGGATGATCATGGAGCGGGCTTTCTTCTGTCTCTCAATGTGTGTGGCCTGCCGCTGAGCGGCCTCGTAAGGTAGGTCCAAGGAGGAGGGTTTGAAGCTGGAGCGTCCTCCAGGCTCATGGCCCTGACTTTGGGTCCTAGATGGGGGAGGAGGGGGACAGAAAGCTGGGGGAGGACCAGTGTCAAGGTAGTAGGGAGGAGGAGGAGGTGCCATTTGTGGCGGTGGAGGAATGGGATGGGGCTGTGAGTGGTCTCGAAGGCTGTCTGTCATAGAGGAACTGCGGGGAAATCTGTGCTCGCCTGCAAGGGCAGACAGCCGATCCTCCTCAGTGGCACCTGATGAGGGAGGGGAGGGCACAGATCATCTGGTGACGGGGAGTAAGCTCGTAAAAAAAGGGCCTTTTTATTCCAGCCTAGCAGGTCAATAGCTGCTTCATGAAAAATACACTGTAATGCATCCATCTGTAAATCTGTTAACTCACACAGTTAATAATGTATCAGGTGTCGCAAACCTAGCTATACAATATTTAAACAAAAACTAAGTAACTACGTATTTTTGGCTTATTTAACAATTAATTCAACATTCATTAAATGAGTGCACTTGAAAACAGGACAAGTGTTTAATAATACAGAGAGTATTAATAATGTATATCTTCTTTTGAAAGATGTTCTGTACTTGAACATCTGCTCTGCAAACCTGTTTCTGTGAATATCCAATATCTACATTTGAACATTCTGAACATGTAATGCCATGTACTGTAAGTGTGTATTTGTGACCATGTTAACTGTTTGTTAATCTGCCAAGTTTTGACAGGGGAAATTATTTCTGGTCAATAAGAACTTTAAATTGGTTTGATTAGGATGCAGCTTCATCCTCAGTATTTTCTATTTGTTGTAGTCTGCTGCTGTCTACATACATTTACAAAAAAGAATGATGCTTCCTTTTCCTTTTCCTGTCTCTAAATGTCAATATATTACCTATAAGTATACTGTACATAAGATACACTATCATTCACCTGATTTGAATATGTACAGGATGGGTGATTGTTTTACCAAAAGACTTGGTCCTGGACATCCCCTTTGGTAGTGGTATGTGACCTCTCTCAATGCCTGGGTGAAGACCTCCATGTAGAGTCATCCCTTGTCTCTCAAACAGTGACTGTAGCACAACAAAACCAAGAATTTACAGTGTTATGGCGCACATTTTTAATGCCTTCACAGCTTCGCTAAAACTCCTAAAATCTGTATACAGAATAGAAGTAGCACAAAGCAGTGAATGCTGTATGTATGCAGGGTAGCGTAGTGCTGTGTAGCCCAGGTGTTTTTGAGTATGTTATCCGTCAGATTGAGTTTGTATGTTTGCCAGCATAGTGGCATATGCTGTCTGACAATGTACTGTGTGTAGGTGCACTCACACTGATCTCTGCTGGTGTTATTCTCCTGCTGGTAGGCCGTTGTTTGACAGTGGCTGCTCTGTAATCTGTCTCTGAAGGCTGAGAACGCAACATAGACTCCTGGGATGCCAACATCTCATCTAGTCTCTCTGTTGAGAAGGAAATGAGCCAGAACTAAATACTGAGACATAAGACCAAGGAAACACTGTGTCATCATTTCTGGTAATGCTAACACATTAGAGAATACAAACTTAAAAAGGCATCTCCGAAATGCAGCTATACACTATGATGTGAGGTCATGCTCTATGGTATTGTACAAAATCACTGCACTATTTCAATGTGTATTTTTTGATGACCGCTAGGGAGCGAGCACTAAGTGTTGAAAGGGTAGAGAGAGAGGGAAAAAAAAGACAAAAAGTGGAGAAAGAGTCCATATATTTCAAGTGTTCTGCTCTGCTGTTCTAAATCAACACTGCTTAAAATGACACAGCAGTGATAAATCATCTTTATGACATTCAGAGAGGTGTCAGTTTCTTGCCTCAGACTCACCTCCTCTTCTCCTCCGAGCAGAAGCTTGGTGGGAAAAAGATTGCGTCAGCAGAGGAGGGAAAATGACAAGAACAAGCCAACAGAAGTGACTACTCTAAAAGTTAGGAGACACACCAAGTTTTAATGACAAAGGGAAAGCAGAAATGTGACAGAAAAGCAGGAAGGGAGTGTGGCGTTTGCTTGCCAACTCTCTGGCACTCACCCAGTTCTTCCAGCTCAGCGGTCATGGACTTAGAGCGAAGTGTCAGGGTGGTGCTGGGAGCTCTTTTGGGTGGCGGGGGTGCTGTGGAGAAAAGGCATGGTGTTGAAGATGAAGTTGAGGGGGATGAAAATCCTTTGGCTTTGCGGCTCAGTGCCCTCCTGGCATCCCCAAGACGTCCAGTCCATCCCGTCTTCACTGCTTTGATCTGGTCAAATTCAGATGAACTGGATGCCTCGCACTTAGCCAGGACCTTGTTCAGGCTACGGTTGGAGCCCAACTTCTTCATGTTTTATTCTCTGTTGGTCTGATGGCTTGTGAATATGTCTTTCAGTTTTTTAGTCTTTGTGCTGCAAGTATTCCTCTCTGCTGAGGAGCCCAGAGGCAGTAAATGTATAGCTCAGTCCTCTCTGTAACATCCCTAGCTTCCTGAATCCTCCCATTACACACAGAACAGAATTTGTCTGCCACAATAGGCAAAATTAACAAAATGAGTGGGGCAAGGAGAGGGAGAAAGTCGTCCATCTTACTTTTAATATGCTGCCTGTTTGGAATTTAGCAGGTGTACATCAGACAGCAGCTTATATACACATGCCTGTTCTCCCACATATGGGACCACATGCAGACACACAGAGAAAACTCCCTGAGGGAGGACATAATGCCATGTGGGCTGACAGACGAAGAGATGACAGTAAATTGAAGAGCAAAGGAAAATGACGGGCTGCAGATTTTATAACCCAAAGCCCATGAGAGCCTCCCAATCCTACTATAAACACAAGGCAACCGGGCCGGTAAAACACATCTACCAAATGTTAGCTCCAAATGCAAACTACAGACTTACAAGTTTCAATAAAAGGATTTAAATCAGGTTAAAAATACCCCAAAATGAGATTATGTATTTAACATGTTAAGTCAGCAGTAATAATGTAATGCCATGCAGCCAGACAGAGACCATAAAGCTACATATAGCAGCAGCCTTTCCGTGCTTTCTCAAACCCAAGTTTCCTAACACTATCCCACAACACAGCTAGATCAGCTCACTCTACCTGATATCGACCAGCTAACACTCAATGCACCACTGTAGAGCGATAGATCTCTAAATCCCACAGACGCCCTAGTGCCTTACTAGAGCCTAACCATCCTGCTGTCGTCAGCGGCTGCAGATCTAGTGTACATACGCCATCCTGGGTACAGTCCATATCAAACATCTTCATTTCCTCACCAGTCTGCACATTATGGTACAGTAGCAGGGAACAGAGGAGATGGAGGAGGATGGAAAAAGAGAGAGGACCAGAGACAGAGTCAGAGGGAGAGAGAGATGCTTTTGCTGTAATGTAATGCTTAATTCAAACATGCAGTGTAGTCACCATGGCAACGGTGGCAGTAGTGAGGCCTGCATGGTGCAGAGAATGTGTGTTTTGTATGTGTGTTTGCTTGCAAGTCTCTGTGTGTGAGTGTGTGAGTGTGCGAGTAAGCGCGCGTCTGAGTATTTGTGCAAAGGTGTGGCACAATATGCAGAGTAAGTCCCACCGGAGGAGCAGCGCAGCAGGAGAGGGTGTTCAAAACAGCTTAGGATATAAAAAAAAGACACTAAGGAGAAGTTTGAAACAAGAGAGAAGAATTCTGTTTTCCCTTAGCTCTGAAACACTAAACACACTCCATCTTGTCTACAGCTGTTTTCACCGTGTGTGTCTCAGCAGTTGAATCTGTCTGCCCATCTTTTCTTCGATTGACAATAAAGGAAGCTTACCAACCTTTGTCTTTCAGCCTACCTCAAGCAAGACAATGTCTTGGGAACACAAAAGACCAAAATAAATTGATGCGAACCAGTATGGTAAAGCCACTCCAAATAAATGTAATTATGCCTACGTAATTTTATATAGTTCCAACACATCTACCATGATAGTGTTCCACTGCACAAATGCCTTCATACACTGAAAGCAAGTTAAAAAATCATGTTAAATTATGTTAAAGGACTAGATTTTGGGATATAAGCTTTTTTGGCGTAGAGTTAAATGATACCAATACTGTAGTTAAATATGAGGCTACAAACAGAGGCATGTTAGCTTAGCTTAGCATAAAGACTGCAAACAGGTGGGACGCAGCTCAAAATCCGCCTACCAGAACCTGTTAAGCTCATTACACATTCTTGTTTGTTTTATCCACTCAAAAACTCTCCCTTTTACAGTGGCTTATGTTAGGGACTATTTCTTGATCGGAACGTAACTGAGAGTGGAGACTAGAGCCAAGAAATAGTCTGGCACACAACCTCCCATTAAATGGCAAATTGTCATTTTTACAAGCAAACAAGACATAATGTTTTAATTAGTGCCCTTTAGTGGTGCTGATAGGTGGATATTGTTTGTTTCTGACAAAACCAGGCTAACTGTTTCCCTCTGTTTCCAGTCTTTGTGCTAAACTAAGCTAACCAGCTGCTGGCTGTAGTCTCATATTTAACGGACAGAAGTGAGAGAGGTATTGGCTTCTCTTCTATTGCTCTACCAGAAAGCAAATTAGCATATTTCACAAAATGTCAATCAATTATGACAACTAAGCGAACACAATCCACTAAGGAAGACCATGACACTCAGTTCAAATATCCAAAAAAAGGTACTAAAGGTACCTTCAGTTAAGATGTTTTTTTTGTAATTATATGTTCAATTGTGCATACTGGCATTACCCATATCAAGTAAACATACAAATTAAAATAGCTAGACAGCAGACAAGCATGGGGTGAGAGAGAGACAAACAGAAAGATAGATTAAGAGAGACAATAAGGCCGTGAGTAGCAGCATATTGCTTATACACTACTGCCCCAATGAAACTAGGTCATACTCATGTATATCTGTCTCTGTATCTCAAAAAACGCTCTACCACACACACATACCCACACATACACAACTGCAGTGTACACAGTCCTGAGGTCATAGTGCCAGTACTGTGTGGGAGCTGAGTAATGGCAAGCTGTGGTTGACATGGAAACCACAAGGATTTACAGCAGGGTGACGTGGTAGAAATCAGCTTGACAAAAGAAACACACATAAATTCCATCTGTACATAGAAGCAACATGTCTCCATTACATTACAGTACAATTCATTATCAAATAATCAAGACATCCTATGAGAAATGGCACGTGCCATGCTAAAATCCCTATGAGCACACAATATACTTTAATTAAGTCATTACTATATAATTTGTGGAACATGTTCTATTTAAATCATTCTTCATAGTAATGAATATGTTTAATATAGTTGAGCTAATCCGTACAAAAAGCACATGTGAAGCAGCATTTCACATGATTTCACAGTTCACATGTCTGTCTGTTTTTGTGACCTTTTACATGTGAAAATATGAATTTAACAACAACTCTTTTTCTTAAAAGGGAAGGCGCAAAGGACCATATCCTCTGGTTTTTACCTTTCTTGCGAACGACTTCCTCAGACTCAGGTTTGCGTGTGACAGACACCACCTTCATCAGCAGCCTGTTGCCCCCTTGCCGAATCAAGGACACCACCTGCTTATGGCCCACCTTCACTACATTCACTCCATTTACCTAAGAGAAAGCACACACAAATCCACATTGAGACATTGTGAAAAGCCTCTGGGAGGCCATTTTGAATTTAATGGTCATTTTTGGTGTTTGACAGGTTCCGAACTTGAACAAACTCCTCCAACAGAATAAACAGATTGACTTCAAATTTTGGCTGTCCATGTGCCAATATTCACTCAAAGGCATAGCACCACCTTATAGTAATAGGAAGTAACCCTTTAACCAAGCAGCCCCCGTGCCACGCTTGACCTAGATGAAAGACATTTTTGGGGCACACGTATCATGCCAGGACACACAAAAAAGCCTCTTGGAGCTATTCCCTAAACCCAACAGGAAGTTGGCCATTTTGGAATGAATGTTAATTTTTGGTGATGTTCCATACTTAACATACTCTTAATCTGATTGACATAAATTTTTTGCTGTGCAATCTATAGGCATTGACGATGAAAAGTTGCGCTATCTGTGTGTTTTCTTCGAAGGGTGTATCCGTGGTGTGGGGTTAAAAATCAATGATATGCCATAAAATAGGAAGTTGTTGTAACTTCTGTATACATGTTCACATCTGCCCAGAACACATCTATATGTCAATATTCACTCATAGCCATAGCGCCACCTGCTGGCAACAAGTAAATGACTACTTTTAGGCTGTGTTGAACTACTCCTAGCTGGTTGGCCACATCCACTCAAAAAATGTCTCAGTCAACCCTTAAGACACTGATGATGTTATGTTTTGAAGCTTGTGAGTTTTTGTTTCATGGCATGTCCATGGTGTGGTGGCGAAGCTCCATGCTTTCGCATGAAAGAGGAAGTCATTGTAACTTCACTGTACATGCTCTAATCTGTACCAAACTTTCCAGGCTTAGCAACGGTCCCGTCCTGAATACATTTATATGCCAATATGCAGTTATAGTCAGAGTGCCTCCTACTGGCAACAGGAAGTAAGTCCTGTGTTCTAATCATCATTTGATTCAAATTTTCATCGAGCAGTATCTCATTAATTAACAAAATTAGAAGCTTCACATATCTTCATATCAAAAGATTTCTAATTACCGTCTTTGCAGACGCAGCAAAAATGATGTGTTGTATTCCGAAATGCACCATAGGATTGTACAGAATCCTGCTGTTGCTATGTTTTCCTACTCTGTTCAAGACCATCACCACTGTGTTCAGTAATGAGATAGATACAGATAAGAAGAGGCAAGTGAAGAGCTGTCCTTCACCTCAATGAGAAAGTCTCCTGTCCTCAGACCAGCCCTCCAGGCCACTCCTTCCACATCCACAGACTCCAGGTACTGAAGGGCAGGGAACGCTGGGGTGGGGGTGAATTCCTCAATGGGCGTCTCGGCTGAAAAGAAACACACAGAGAAAACCAGAAGAGTTAAGTTAAATCAATAGCTTGTTTTGACTCATTTTCTAGTAAATTTGATTGCCAATGACCACAACAAGATCACAAACAGAAAATATACATGCTGCAACGAATATTTGGAAAATGTTGTCTGCTGGTTTAAATCTGCTCTATTTTAATTTCCTTGAGGGCCGTGATACTTCCCTTTCATCTTTCCTGAATTGATTTAATTAATACATTTGCACTGTATTTAGTTGTATTTGTTGACTAAAGACACCTGAGTTTATTAGGTGGGAATACTAGTAGCCCTTAGTGGATGGACTTCTGTTGCCTGCTGCACCTAAACAATATTATTAATACATATAGTTGCACACAATCACATGCTTACACTTAACTACTCAACTACATGTATGTCTCAACAAATAGAAACACAGAGTACACAAGCACACTTTGTAAAGTGAGTGATTTACCACAAACTCCATTTAATCTTGGAGCCTATCCAGCTAAATCACTGACACATGAGAGATCTCAGAGGACCACTAAGTGAACTGCAGTGTGTGTGTGTGTTTGTGTGTGTGTTAAGGGTACTGGGGAGTAAAAAACAGAGTGAGTAAAAGAGAGCGGGGTGAGCCAGGATCCATGGTAGTGAGAGATGGAGCAGTAAAGCACACTTAGACTCCCGGCAAGGTGCCTGAGAGGGGTTGCCATGGTAACCGGCCTGAGCAGAGAGGCTGGCACGTGCATGAGTAAAATGACTTTGAGGTGATGGAGATGAGTAGAGAGTTGAATCCCGTAAAATGCGGAAGGTATGAAAGCGATTGCATGAAAATATTTTGAGAGGATAGATTTTGAGGGGATGGATATGAAGGGGGTGGAGGAGCAAAAACAAGGACAGACAGAGCAAAGATGAGAGAAACAAGAAAGAGGGGAGAGAGGAGTGTGTCTCTACTAACGCTGAACGCCATGTGTGGGGAACAGATGGGACAGCTAGCTGACAGCTCAGCCAAGGATGACGCCACCAAAGGGGCTACACATGCTCTCTCTCTCACACACACACACACACACACACACACACACACACACACACACAGACGCCTGAGTGCATCTGAGTATACAAGCTCAGTGTTGACCAAAGCTGCTCGCGTTGTTGACTCACACAGTAACAATACAGACTGAGCTGCACTCAGTGACTCAGATCAACAAGCTACTTCTCACACTAAAACTCTCACACGCTGAAAACAGGTAAGTAGTGAATGTGTGAATGTTTTTGTAAAGGTGTGCGTATGTGTTTGTACTTCACCTTTTGCTCCCCGCAGGACAAAGCCAAACCCCTCATTTTCTTTCTTCTGTAAAACAGCATTCTTCTCCTCTATGATATAGTCACTGTGAACGAGGGAGCAGAGGGAGAGCATTTATGAATCCAACACCATCGTCACACACACAAAGAGAAGAGAGGGGCGAGGTGAGAGGGCAGGAGTGTAAAAAGGGTTGGTCGAGGGGGTATAGAAATGGGAGGAGATGAAGGCACACACACACACACACACACACACACCCATCTGTTCTGTATTTCCTTTCCTGTTAACCAATCAAGTTAAAAGCCAAGCAAGAAACCACAGCTCTGGATTTCAGGGGTTGTACTAGCATTTTGAGACACACGCACGCGCACACACACACACCCATAGATAGAGACAAAGAACAAGAGTGAGAGTGCGAGAGAGTGAGCAAGCGAGATAGAGAGTCCTTGTGATTGAAGTATCTTTGGGATAAAAACTAAGAGCGAATCAATCTTCCTCCTGATCCTTCGGATGAGACTGCAGATGAGGAGGGTGTGGGGGGCTTCTGCTAAAGAAACTGACAGTGATGGCTCAGATGCAATATTATCCCCTTACTAATGACAGAGGGAATAGGAGGCAAATAGTAAGTGAGCAGTTCATCACTGCCTGATTTTCCTGAGTGTTGAGGGTGGAGGCTATTAGATGGTGTTAACCTGTGCTGCTCTTCACACACTTAAATGTATTTTTTTAAAGCATCTGCGTCCAAAGCCTGTGAGCCATAACCAAAGCAGAGTTAGTAAGGCACAAACGACAAAGATATTGCTTTATAACTCCTATCTTTCAGTCTTTTCACACCACACTTTGACCGGCGGGACTGCTGCCAATTTACAGCCTGAACACCCTGACAAAAAGAGTTTGGTAGTATTTTGTGATTTTCAGCATTATCAGTCATCCTACCTCACAGCAAAGGCAGATGTAGAGAGCTAGTGTTCAGGTTGCAACTCAGTAGGTGGCTGCAGTCTCCATTAGCTTAGTTACACTCCACTCTCTCAGACTTACCAAGGGAACACAGACCTCCTGTTGCTGGAGCCAGGAGACCCGTAACAAACCTTTCTGCAGGAGGGAGGTCAAAGGTTCGGTTTCATAAAAAGCTATCCACTTTTGTGCCAATTATTATGCACAAAAAACCATCACTAAGATGTTTTGTTTCAGTCCAAACCCTTTTATCCACTATGCTTTCATCTCTGCTCTATGCCCCAAAATGACGCATTAATGCAATACGCTCACTATCCTTGTTCAGAATTTCTATCCGCCTACATAACACAGTAAAGAAAAAACTCTGATGTAAGAAACACAATTTAAAATGGTAAATGTTTCCTCAAAATAAAACTGTCCTTTGACATTTATGATTCTAATATTCCTCAGATTGCAGTCTTTGACTGCATTTCAGAAATTGTACAACATAATTCAATTTAATTCTGTCATACCTGGGCTTTTTGCTTTGTCTAAACTAAACTATATTTGGTTAAAGGTACTACCTGCCATTCCAAAACAAAAATATATACAAACGAATGCCTAACATATATGGACTATCCCAGGCTAGTGTGACTGGGATAATCCTAATTCTACAAACCTGGAGCTCTGTTAACAGAAGTGACATTTAATCTAACTAAAACCTAGAATGCAAGAAACTGACATTTTATAAAATGCTGACAAAGTTGGTGTAATGGATGTTCACTCAGAATAGAGCTGTGTCTCAAACTGATACACTGTGGCATTAAAGTGGGAATATGCAACAAAACCATGCTACTCCACTCTCACTAAACCAATCTGATTTAGAAGAGATGGAGCGCTCAAGCTCTCTACATAGTAAATGCCAGGGATGGCAAAAAGAAAAGAAAGACATTGACGAAGAGTCAAAAAATAAAACAATAAACAGATCGAATAAGAACATCCTGGCAGCGAATCGTAAAAAATATGAAGCACAAAACCATGCATGTAGCATATATATTATGAGTGTGTACGCACAGTGCACATACACCCACACATACAGACAAACTGTTAAACAGAGTTATGCAATCCAATTTCATGTGTATTTTACAAATATAACTGAGTGCACTGGCAGTCTTATGCCTTTAGATGGCAGTAGCTCCATAACACTACAACACCTTCTCCCATGGACTTGGTAAGAAAGCAATCTGTGATATGACAAAGATAACAGTTTGTACAGTACAGTATACACTAATATGCACGGCCTGCGGTACACAGGATGCTATCGCAGAGAAGAGGCTGTACCTGTATGAGGTGAAGTTGTCGTAGGATCCCACAGTGTAGTGTCTGAACAGTCTTTTAGTGCGGTCCTCCCGAGTCTCTGTAAAACAGATTAAGTACATTTTCATCTAGTCAGACAACCCAGAACTCTATGTTCTGAATTATTATTCAAGCATTACACTGTATGCTGACATCAAGGACTGACAATATCTTGAAAGGCTAAAATAAATGAAAAAATGTTTTCACATTGGGTTGAAATAATGTATGTAAGTTTTCAATTACTCATCTGGTAATTGTTTTGTATGCATAAGTACACTTGATATGTAGAGTAAGAAAAGAGAAGATCTATACTATAGATTAATAAAGACACTGTAAAATAATAAAAACTACTAAATAATAAAAATAACTATAAAATAATAAAAACACTCTTTAGGAGATTTGATCTACATATAACAAGGCCTTACACACATAGAATGGTGAATAGTAAAACCATCAAATTTCATATCACCCACATATCATCCAGGGCTTAAATTCCAAGTGAAGTGCAGTATTTTGAAACGTGGTCAGCCACATTTGGCAGTGTGTGGTGTTTTGTCACAGCATTGAGTAAATTGGCTGAATCTAGAAACTTCCCAGGAATACACCGCTATGTTATGATTTAGGAAGAACACAGTTTTTCTTTTGGATTTGATTCAGTTCTGCTCGTGGCCTTTCACAAATCCATAACAATTTTAATATGTCCCCAGCTCTTAGTATGTTAATGTCAGCGAAAATTTATTCAGTTTACACAGAGGAATTAACCTACCACAGATAAGTAATTATCATTAACAGGCTTCATTTATCATAACCTACCAGAATATAATTGTTCCACTGTATTTTTGTTTTTTAAACAGTAAAATAATTGCATTATTCTGCCTTTAAAGTGTTTCTTTAAAAGCATGTTGAGCTCAATTAATATAGTGTGTGTGTACAGTATGTGTGTGTTGTTCCTGTCAGCATGTGGGTGGATTTATTCTATGGGAGTGCTGATTTAGATCAATGCCCTCCCCCCAATAATATACATTGCCCCTCCACAAAACAGCAATCTGCTGACTACACACCCCAAGACCCTTTCAGGCAACACAGAAACTCTTAATTGGGCAAAGCTGTGAGAGCGAGGGGCATCCTGTTGGTTAAGTGAGAGACACGGCATGAAGCCACAAGTCTGGCTTGTAACCTTGGTCACATGCCCCCCCCAATTCTCTGTTTCCTCTCCCTTTTTGCTATCTAATAAAGCCAATACACCAAGCTGTTTGTCATATACCGTATGTGTTTATGAGAAAGAAAGAGACAAAAGAGAGGGAGCGAAAAGGGAAAGAGATCAAAGTAAGTGAGCAGACTTGAAGTGGCTGGCTCCCTCAGATCCACTTTCGCCTGTCCATCTGACTGTGCGTGTGAGTGACAGACTGTCAGCTGAAGCTCTGATAACTGTATCCACTGACACTTGGTGACACATCCAGACGCCAAAAAAGAAAAAGAAAAAAGGTTTAGCTTTTCCGCTTCAAATTCTGGATTTTTTTCCATCATCCTCTGCTCTTCCTCTCTCACCTGCCGTCTCATTTTCCTCATCTGCCTTTCCATTATAAACTTGTTTGCTTGTGCTGTGTTCTTCGCTCTCCAAGAGCACCGCTGTGTGAATCTCAACCTCTCTGATTCTTACACATTTCATTTGTTTCAGCATGACTGCAAATCTGTAGCTTTCCTCTTCCCTCACTACACATGCCCCAATCATAGGAAGGAGGCCGTTGATGAAAGCACCCTACATTACAAAACCAAGCTCTGCTCTACAGTTGATAACAAGTCCCCCTGCATCAGAGCAAGAACCTGAGTCAATTGGTCAGTGAGTCACCTCCTGGTCACTGGCTGTGCATTTGACTTTGGCTTAGATGAAAGGAAAATTCTCCCTCAAAACATTTTTCATGGTTAAAAAAAGTACTTTTGGTGATCCAATTGAAGTGTCTGGAACTACTTTGTTGTTAGGTGGTATATTTTTGTTATTTTCATGGATTATTAGCCACTAACAGACAGACATGTAAAGATATTTGCAGCAGAGCCACAAAAAAGAGTTTGATAGCTATTGTATGTGAACATCAAACAGTACAACACGTTTTGGGTTCAATCAATCAGGAGAAGAATTTCTTTCTACAGTCATAATTTGGCTACAGTGTTCAATAATAGAGGGAGACATTTTGCTTGAAATAACCAGCAATAAAATTCTCCAACTGCAGCATTTGTATTCAAGGGATAGTAGTAGGAAGTTACTGAAGTTACTTAAGTGTGTGTGTAAAATGAATAACTCAAAAGGTGCACTGAGACGTTTGACGTCAGATAAGGTTCAGACTGTCTAGTCATAAAGATTAGACGACCTTGGGGTGTCTCAGTTTCTCAAGATATGGTAGTTGGAGACTAGATTCTGTTGTTTAGACCAGATAGCTAATACCGGTAAGAGCCATACATGCCCCCTCTCTGTATATCTAGCTTACTGAGTTTATTGAACTTAAGTGTTTTTGTCAAGCGAATCCTAAGCGGCCACAGTCATGTTGAATTTGCTCCTTGTGCCATTACTTTAGTAAATGCATTTATTAAGACAACAGAGGCTGACGAGAGTGTTTTTTTATTTTTCAAAATATAGACTGACCTGAAATATAATTTTATTCATCAGGACACATATTTTCTGTACTGAAACATCTCTTGCCATCTTGCCCTTGCTATGCTCATCATCAGTTACCGTATTGCTCTCTCCACTTACACAAATAACCCACAACTTCATGCAGAAGTTCATCCACTGGACTTTTTATTGTGAAAATAATAAATTAAATCCTCAACAGTTCTCCTTGTGGAGATAAATGCCCCTTCCTTAAGTGGATGAGGGTTTACATGTAGTTGAAAATACCTGCGCAGAGTGTATCTTCCTTTTGGCACCCACTTCCCCAGACTGGGTTTATAGGTGTGCTGGCAAACTGCCGAGGTAATCATGTTGTGGCAACATTGTAAGCAGCAGATAAGTGGTTTCACCGTCCCTTCTCTGCCATTAGACTGTGTGTCTTTAGCTTCCTCTGATGCCAAAATGAAGCCCAGTGAATTGTTTTAATTTGCATCTTAGAACCTGGATGACTAAGACGACTGTACACACACATGAAATGTGCAAAATCCCAAACTAAAGTATAAAAGGCCAGTTGAGGTAAAGTGGGTGCATGACAATGAAGTATGACATTTCCTCACCCAGAAATGAAAAAAAAAGAAAGTTAATCAAGAGTGTGAGTGTCAAAAAATATGATGTGTAATGAAGAATGAAGCTGAGTGGGTGTTTTTGTGAAGTTATTGGTTATCAGAGGAGGTAAGGGGAAAAGAGAGGTGAGTTGAGAGCTGGTTGGCATTTTGTCTGTGTCAGAAGGTTACTAAAGACATGACATTTTGTTAGCACTAGATGTCAAAGGGAAGTAGTGATGAAAGAAGAGGTGATATTTGGGGAGAAAGGTGTAGATGAGCCAGCACTGGTCTTCTCCTGTACGTTCAGATTGTATTTTACAGCTCTCACTCAACTTTCACACATACACACACACACACACACACACACACGCTCATTCAACCTTACACATCATCAAAAAGCTCTCACTTCAAAAAAAGGACAAAAGAAAAAGAAAATCAGCTTAATTTCGGATAATTTTTAGAGCTGGTGAGTGTGAGTGTGCCTACCATGTGATACCAGATGCAGTCTTAGAGTGTGAAATGCTGCTCATTCATCACAGCTGTCATCTATTTTGTACAGCCCAGGAGCATCTAAAGGCAGGGCGCTGATAGCACAGATAACCTAAACTCCACTTTCATCTATCACTCACACACACGCACACGCACCCCCCCCCCCCCCCCCCCCCCACCTACACACATGCAGGGATTGAGTAACAGGACAAAGGGTGTCCACTGTAAGTAAAGTCTGTTGTTTACCTTAATGTACATTAGGAGGGTTTATTATTACTTTCTTTTTGTTTGCTTTCGAGGACAGGAGGCTGTGGTTTAGCACCAGATGGGAATAAAACAAGGAGAAGCATCTTCAAATCTGCAGCAGAGCTACAACATCTGAGCTGTCAGAGGGGAAGATAAGCTCACTTCATTCCAGAGAACAAAGACAATCATGATTGCTGGGTGTTACCCAGATAACTATTTATATACATGTAAAGCATATTAAAGGATTACCACCTATTCTGAGTACCATGTCAAAAGTGGCAGTTGGTTGGATTTAGACATACTGTCGCTGTTTGGAGAGATTATGGATGTCCAGGTGAAACATTCAGTTCGTGTTCTCCTTCAAAACACTCACACAATATTGAAAGAGCTACAGGTCCAGAAATTTTAGAAAAGAAAATGCTGAACATTAGCAAAATATATATAAAATGAAACAGAAGTATAAGTGCCTAGGATTTAGTAAACAAGGAGAAAGTCAGAGAGGAAGGTCATTTCCCTCTGAGAACACAATGAGGGACTATTGCCTATGAGTGCCCATTAGGAGGTGGCCTCAGAATGTGGTTTAATAAGAGAGATCTGGTGAGAATTTTCATTAGACTGCAAATGTTGCATCTGGTGACAGAAACACAGATCCTTAGAAAAACAATGTGTAACAAACGGAATATAGAATGGATACATTTAGTCTAAGTTAAAGTGTTATTTTGTGCTGCTTGCTGATGGACAAACATAGATAGGTCCTGTAGGTACAATGTTTACAGTAGACAGAATTAGAATTTCTTAAGTTGCCCTATCTCCATCACAGACTGATATGACACAGCAATATTTACATTTTCTGGCACAAAGGATGTAATAAATTTCACATTTCCAATGACAACGAAAACAAAACATAAGCAAATTAGGTTGTTAGCATGTACAGTGGTAGCTACAATAGGTAAACAGGCAAAGAAACAACTTCCCACAGAAAGTCAGTGTAAAGAGGGGGGAAATGTGTTTACTGAAGCATTGAGGCTTTTCAGCCACTTATGTTGAGCATTCAAGGGATCAGGAATGCACTAGGGGCACCTGCTGGTCAAAAGACTTTACAGCAGGCAAGTACAC